CTATGCCCCTGACAGTACATACAGGGGACGAAGTTGGAAAAGAAACACGCATCGCGATATCGGAACGTTTGCGCGTAGTTCAGGCAAGTCAAAAGATCTATCGTTCTTTGTTTTTTTATCTTTTTTTCCATGGAAAGTGAATTTCGATTTTCAATTATTTAGCTTGACCCACCCACCCACAATTTGGAAAAAAGATCGAAATTTTAAAAACACTGAAAATTCTGAATGGCCCCTAAAGCTTAGCTGAAACTTCATCAGGTTAGTTGCTTAGTATCCTTCATTAGATTTTAAAGTCTTTTGTTGCTTCAAACGAACAAAATGCACAAATTACAAATGATGGACTGTAGCTTTAAATTGATCACTGCTTACGACGGAGACTACCCCGAGAACATTGTGTTCCAAAACGGACAAGCAAACACCGTGGATCAATTGTACAAGTACAACCGCATGGTTAACCTTTTTTAAACAATGTGGTTCATTTTTTTTCTCTTTCAAAAGAATATGTATAATGCCTTTTTTAGTTTTTGAGGATCTGAAAAGAACCAGGGGAAACTAAAGGTTTAGGACAGTATGTTCAACTCTTCGTCAGGATCCAGAGGGATTCCAACACCCAAAGATCTGTTATGTAGGATGACGGAAGCATAGAAGGTCTGGGAACAAAGTTGTATGTACATTATATGTGACCCATGGCATTGTCTGGAGAGGATAGGGTTCCAGATGTCACTGATGGAGAAACCGATATCTTGAGGTACCGTGTCGTGGTTGTAGATTTCGATGGTCACTCTGGATGCTACATGGAAAGTAGTGCCAGTTCATCTGCTACCAGTAGTATTAAGTGTGAGAGTATTCGACTAAGACATACTTGTACAAAATATCTGCGTCTGAAGTGTTAATTTAGTCTGGTCGATAGCTCTGACATACAGGATTTGGAACATTGTATCAGAAATCTCACAGAGGTTGCACTCCCTTTTTGGTTCTGTAACGCACGTACACACTTCTTATAATTACCCCCTGCTGGGTATTGTCGTAAAGTTCATCAAAGACATTGCTCTTATCTGCTTCCTGGCATAGACCTATGGTTGTCCTCGGCTTACCTGGATAAAGCAGGTAGATCATACTGTTCAGAATCTCCCCGTAACTGTTGATCTCTTGTTTCCTGTTGGGCAGGTTGGAGACCACTTTGACTATCACATCGCCTTGTGCAACTGAGAAGTAGTAGTAAACTCCTAGTCTGAACGTTTGGTCTTGTTGGTTCTTGTGAGATTGCAGCAGGTTGTGAATTTTCTTGGGTGCTTTATGAAAACTCGAATACCATGCTTTTGGAAGACACTTTGAATGTATGGGAAATTCAACCTAAAGTAAGGCAGGGTAATGGAACTATTGGGCTTTGGCATAGGGGACGCAATGTTGTGTGTGTTGGGGAGGGCTGATCTGGGATCCTTGGGCTTGTCTCTAGTACACCCAACCTAATTCAACCAGGGATATCTAGCTGTCAACGGGATCTTTTATATCTCTGTGCCCACACCATACTAACCACACTTTGGTATATCCTAGCTCCCTGGACACACAAACCACAATTGCCAGGCTATTATATGATCTATATTCTCATGCCCATTCGACACAATTTACGTACCACTGTCATGACTGTCCTCAAGATGCTCAGGCAATGGGGCCAAGATCAGTGTCCCCTACTCGCAACCTGAATGCCTGACTACAGGATCATTTTATCCTCATACCCATACCACCTAAACCCCCACTTCCACTCCCAAGACAGCAAAGTTACATATTATTGTCTACTCACGAGATTAACGTTCTGGTAGGTTAACTTTGCCCCATTTCTCCAATCGTCACAGTCAAAGAGATCATCCAGTGCATCAAGCATCAACGAGGTCCACCTGCAGATTCACCAATTCCTCGGGAAACACAAGCCAGGCACCCCAAAATCTACGAACAAAAGCATGTGCAGTCATCGCCTCACTTTGTCAAAATCACAAAAGTCCAATCACATCCTGTAAGGTGATAAGGGCAGCACCACTTTTGTCAAATGCGAACTTTAACAGCAAGGAGTGGGCTATCCTTGACGTTGGTTCCTACCATCCCCTTTGCAAAGACCCTTATTGTCCATTTAAAAGCGACTTCAAGGCAAATTCTTTATAATCCAGGGGTCTGGTAACGTCTCCCTGTACAGACTGCTCCCACCCACCAGCTCGAAATGCCCAATCTTCTTCAGACAAATGATGATGCACAAGCCGGATGTTCCACTGCGCCCCATCATGGCCTCAAAGGGGGAACACACGTACAAGACAGCTAGACACCTCACATAAATTCTGCATCCCCTAGTTAACAACACCAAACACCACATCAGTTTGCCATCTTCACCTCGGACCTAACCATCCAGCCAAACGACGTCATAGTAGTCAGCTATCGAGTCATTTCTCTCTTTACCTATACACTCAGCGCCAACTGACCTGTGCTATCATCAAAGACTCACAAGGACTCCACTGACGCCCCATATTGTATTCAGCTTACCCTGTGTCTTGCATAATCTAGCTCCATGGGATGTCATTCATGTATTCCATTAGTCTGGCCTATATAGTCCCAGAATAATTTCAGCAAACAACCATCACCAAGGCAGAACACAGACGACATGTTTGGCTTCATCATAATCATGTGATGACACCATCACCATATGGCAGCATGGGTTAGATAATATACGCCTTCTCTGCTGCCAAAGGTTCTCCTATAAATAAAAGGCCCATTGTTTAAGACAACTATACAGTTCCATCACCCCTTCGAGAGAATTTGAGTTGTATTTCCGAAACACTCGACGCATCCTCTACTAGCATGGCATCCAAGTTTTTATATAGAACCCTAAAATTGACAAACTGCGGCAATCTCACAAGAACCAGCAAGACCAAACGTTAACACTAGGAGTCTTCAGAATTGTATGCCAATGTAACAAAGTGTACATCGACGAGGCTGGTAGTGACCTCCCCAGTTCTACTTCTAAGACCATCAGAAAGTCGTATAGTGATCTTAAACCTTCCCAATCGGAGGCAAGAGACCTACGGTTGCCTGGAGATACTGAAGAGTATGCGCAACCTGCTTCATTCAGGTAAACCGAGGACAACCACTTCCCAAGATATTGGTATGTCTATCAGTGACATCTGGCGCCCTATTCTCTGCCACTCAATTCAGTGTTCACCTACATATGTACATTTGTACGCATGTTCTCATGCCTAAGTCAGTCTATATGGGTCTCCTGTGCCCTTGACAACCTACTTCACGACTTCCTTCCACTACACCGACATCCCTAAACACTAAAATCCCTAAACGCTAAAAATACCAGTACCTGGATTAAGCTGGACGGTGTTTAACTCATTCAAATGTTATTACATTTTCAATTTGCCAAGACCTTACTCTCAAATTATTTGTGTTAATTTTGATTAAGATCTTATCCCTTTCTTGCTTCTTAGACTTGAATTTCCTTCCTTGTTTTCTCTCAACTCTAACGAGTCACCTGAGGATTGCCAGATACATAACACTGAACATTCCTGAACACATCCAAGGCAACCACATGGAATAAATATTCGAAGAATTAAACAATTTTCGTGGTGCATTTCCAAGAATCAGTTCAAATTCCAGCGTTCAGCTTAACTTGCCATTTGTATTTCTCGATCAGACCTGGAATTGCTAACGTCATAATAATGGACCACACAGTGCTGTTCTGGGTAAATGAACTTTTATGACAAATACAAATTGCATAAATATGAGCTATAATGAAATGAAATTGTCAGAATCTAATCTGTGCTCCGCCTGAAAGAACAATTAATGGGGAAAAAAACAATTAATGAATTGGAACTACATGAATTTTCCTGAGCTTAATGTAATAGTATGCTGCAATTACACATTAAAATGAATATGTATGCAGTCGTGTATCCTGTTCAAGGGTTCGTCAACAATATAAATCGGACTATTTATTTTCCTTCGCTTAAAGAAAATGTGTAAAGAGTGTAAATCCATTTCAGAATAATCCGGAACAAACATATCTTTACATGTCACCACGGAAACTGCATTTTGATTAAAAGGTGTGGTTGATTTTTTTGTGTTTTCATTTAAACTTAAATCTGTATATCTTGCTTTAACTTCCTCCATTTTTGTGTTCAATGAATCATCTTTAAGACCATTTTTCATACCGTTATATTTGATGACTGTTCGTTCATAGTATTACCACAGCAAGGTTTTCAAATGCAATTTTCTCAATTTAGTTTTGCAACTGGTAAGTTGGCAGTCTTATTTCTGTTACTAAACTCAGTAACCCTAATGCTATATATATCATTGGAAAGCTCTTGTTTTGCAAAATCCAGATATGTCATTTCTTCAACAATTCCGTGCCCGAACACGGGAATTAAAGCGATTAGCCACCAAGGGCGGATCCGGGGGGGGGGGGGGGGGGGGGCAAAGGGAGCCATGCCCCCCCCCCAAAAAAAAAACGAGACCATTTTTTTTTTTTTTTTGTGACATCGCAATAAAGGCACTCAGGCAATGAGTACACCACCATCTTTTCCTCAAAAAAAACATTGGTTAAAGTGGTCAGAAATTGCCTCAGATCGCACCACAGAGCATCTAGAATCCAATTTTTTTTCGGGGCCCTTAAGCGGGCCCCGAACCCCACGCTGTAATTTTTTTGACCCACTTTTTGGGGGGTCCAGAAATTTTTTTGGCCCCCCCCCCAAAAAAATTGTGTTCTGGATCCGCCCTTGTTAGCCACAAAATGTCTAATTTATTGATGGCTGTATCCGGATATCTTGGCCGATGACGTCACGTTGTTATTCCACAGAAACCCCCGTTTTTCAAACTCCGGCTTCGACCTGCGTATCTGGGTCCAGCCCCATTGCCAACCTGCATAATGGAGCAAGAGCGGTGCCTAACGCAAGCCGTAGTTTAGAAAACGGCCCATTGGCCCACGGTATTTTTTTCTACGTACGTCCTACGTCATTTTTTTTGTATACATGTAGCTAGCTACCTACACAGTGAAACTGAAACTAGTGAGTGCTGAACTGTGAACATGTTGAACAATCGCTTTTGTAAATTTTAGACGGTTTTCTTCTGTTTGGAACGTGATATTTTGTAAGTATATTGAACACATTTGGAGGGAAATGTTCATTGATATTGGAACACATTTGGAATGTTGGAATTTTGTACACCCTTCTTCATAAAATCGTTTTGTTTTGTCGCCCAGTTTTCGGACAGACTGAGGCTATCGTTACGGCAGCCGGCCGTATATAACGCGATTATTAACTGCTGTCCTTGCGGAACCGGGTGGTACCATGAACTAATGGTACTCAAAGTCATGATCTTTGGCTGTTGGACATGTTGGAACCTAGCTCTACTGAGTGGAGCATTGAATTACGGGTACCCCTCCATACAAACGCTCCACCGATTTGCCATACTTTGGTAGCACCATACACGGTCGTCATGACGGTATGCATTTTGTGCATGCCCTCGCGAGGACAAGGCCCAAAAAAACTGATAAAGAAAATACAAATGAGGAAGACAGTAACCCTGGATAGATCCACACATTCATGACATTCCAATTTCCATATGACCCCTCAAATTGTTTCAAACAACCGGTAATTTTGAAAAAAGAACAAAATAGTCTGAACTTACCGCTCACAATTAAATGTGTCTGCCGAGTTGCACAGTCTATTTCACTGACATGACTGATGCATAATTCATTGCGCGCGTGTGTGACGTCACTATTGAAGAAAAACAAGTTGCGCTTACTCAATAGCTGTTTTATGTAGTCATATGTGCCCCGCGCCGTCTGACTGTGGGTTTTTGGTGCGGGGCACATATCAGTACATGAAACAGTCATTGATTAAGCGCGACTTGTTTTTCTTCAATAGTGACGTCACACACGCGCGCAATGAATTATGCATCAGTCATGTCAGTGAAATAGACTGTGCAACTCGGCAGACACATTTAATTGTGAGCGGTAAGTTCAGACTATTTTGTTCTTTTTTCAAAATTACCGGTTGTTTGAAACAATTTGAGGGGTCATATGGAATGTCATGAATGTGTGGATCTATCCAGGGTTACTGTCTTCCTCATTTGTATTTTCTTTATCAGTTTTTTTGGGCCTTGTCCTCGCGAGGGCATGCACAAAATGCATACCGTCATGATGATCGTGTATGGTGCTACCAAAGTATGGCAAATCGGTGGAGCGTTTGTATGGAGGGGTACCCGTAATTCAACGCTCCACTCAGTAGAGCTAGTTGGAACCAGAGAACCGTTGGCCCCTGGCCCAAGAACTATTTCTAGGATTGCCCCATTAAATGTGGCCTATTTACTGGACTACCTCCGTAAACATAGGCCACACATTCACATGTACAAACACGTGTCGCACTTTGCCAAATTTTGATTTTCACATTTAGGATTAGTTTGTAGGTTTTTTTGCTTTAGAAGCATACTCACCCTCTTTATAGGGTAATCAGAAAGTGCTGGCTTTTTCAGATGTCTATTTTTCGTGAAATTTCCAGATTCATTTGCACACATTTGCGTATCAAAATTTCAACATGAAATTTCACAAAAATTAGACATCTGAAAAAGGCAGCACTTGGTAAATAAAATGCAATACGTAATGCAATACGGCTTTGTACCTACATGTATGTATGTGGGACTCGCCCGACAATTAATGTCCAAAATGTTAAACATGTTAAAAAAGGCGATTCGTAGAGTCCTAGTTACTCGGACTAGCCCTGAAGGGACATCACACATCGAGATTTCTGTACAGATTTCTGTGATTTTATCGCACATTTCTGCGATGTCGCAGAAATCTGCGCAGAAATCTAGATGTGTGATGTCCCTTCAGGGCCACCATAATGATTGTGTCGTGCGCAAAGTTAACCATACCGGTATTGGGGAACGTAAAAGTACATATGTAGGTATGCACCCAGTTAACATTATGCACAGCCCACGCTCCGTTATTCTTGAATGGTACGGTAGTGCGCGCGTGTGAGGTACATGTATGCTTAGAATTTTCTAGGTCGGTCTGCCCGATTCGCCAAGATGGATTTGGTTTGTCTTGTCAATAGCGCCTTCTACCATTGATGTCGCTCAGCTGCGTAGCGCGCTAGACAGCTTGTAAGTAAATGAACATTGATCAAAAATCTTGATACTAGTCGTGCGTTTTTCCCCCCTGCATCAGAATCTGACTATACACAAGTGAAGCAAGGTCATACGTAAGATGGGGCGGCTACATGCTCCAAGTATAGATGCAGTGATGTTGGCATCCAGTGTATTTGGTGAGTTGACAGTTCCTAGTATACAAATATAACATGGTTTGAGGGTGGACAGTCGATATTCGCTCCCCGAGGTATTGGAAGTTGACAAACTAGTTCCCGAGGCGAAGCCGAGGGAACTAGTTTGTCAACTTCCAATACCGAGGGGAGCTAATATCGACTGTCAACCCAAAATAAACCATGTTATATTTGTTTTACTATACCTCATACAAATTCAGTTGCCGAATTTTGTTTTGTTATTATGCACCTAAAACAAAATTTGGGGAAACTTGTACAGCTCATCAAAAGATTCAACTTAAATTACTAGTTCGGTTCGTTTGCAATATAATACAGTTACTACAGTGACAGTTGTAAATACAGTTGTTTGCAATGTGTACAACTTTCTTTTGTACAGGAGACATCTTTACACGGTCTATACATTTTCTCCAGTACGGCATCATTGAGCTCTGGAAATTAACATTTACGCGAACCATGCAACCATGCATCTCTCCTGTGCGATGTTCGCGCGTGCGTACTGCACCCGTGCGACAGTTCCTCGATTGCTCTGTAAAGCGCATGCGTAGTAGACTGTCGCACGGGTAACCCATGCGACAGTCTACTACGCATGCGTATTTACTATGTGCGTGAATCCTCGCGCGCGCGTTTGGTAAACAGCAAGAATAACATCTGGCACGCGATGGTGAATTGACCAGTGAACTTTCGGCTTTCGATCATGAATATACATGTATATGAGGTATAGTAATTTATCATGTTGCTCATGAAGTGGATGAGGACTGAAAAAGACTACCTGTACATGAGCAGAGCACTGGAACATGAATACCCTCCTTACTAGCACTCCACCAAATAGGCATACTCTGACAACACCATCAAATCACTGATTGCCTTTTTTGGCATTCCCTCGAGGACAAAAGGCCCCCCCCAAAAAAAAAAAAAAAATTGGTTCTTGGTTCTTGGTTGGTTCTTCTCCTAAATACTCCACGTGGGAGTTTATACAGGAGGCCAGAAACACCGGGGCAAACCCGTTCTCTTAGCGATAAGTGTTTACTGGGTTCTTTTTTACTTGCATTTATACAACACACGGGACCTACGGCTTAATGTCCCATCCGAAGGACGAAGCAATAATGGTTAAGTGCCTTGCTTATGAGCACAAGTGTCCGCCGGTGGGCTGGAACCCACGTCACTGTTGCCTCTGAAACACCAGAACGTGAGTCCGGTGTTCTTAACCGCTAGGCCAAGGTTAAGAGAATACAAATGAGAAAGACAGTTACCCTGGATGGATCAACAGTGTACATTTGTGTACACAATCATGTAATTCCGTAAGACCCCTCAAATAGTTCCCAAAAAGTGGTACTTTTGAAGAAAAAAAACACCAAAATATTCTGATAAACTTACTGCTCACAGTTACACATGCGACTCCTGTGTTTGAGGAGTTGTGCCAGCCATTTCATTGCTGGTTGATCAAACCTAGTGTGACGTCACTATCGAAGAAAATCAAGTCGTGCTGAATCAATGACTGTTTCGTGTACTGATATGTGCCCCACGCCATATCACAGTTTGTGCTGTCAAAAGCGCCAAAAAGCCATACTGTCATACAGTGCAGGGCACATATCACTTCATGAAACAGTGGTTGACTCAGTGCAACTTGGTGTGTTTTTTTTCGGTAGTGACATCACATACGCACTCGATCAATTAGCAATGAAATGGATGGCACAACTCGGCAGACACATATAATTGTGAGTGGTAAGTTTATCAGATTTTTTTTTTTTTTTTTGGAATTACCGCTTGTTTTGAACAATTTAAAGGGAATATACAACATTTGGAACCATCAAAAAAACAAGACTACCAAATTATCATGAAATACCTTACTGGACTGTTGGTGAATGACAGTCAAAGTCATTCCGTAAAATCATTGCACCTGGTGTGCTGTCATTTTCAAGAAAAGTGGTATTTTATATCAATTTCCAATGCTGGTCGGCCGACCAGCGTTGGAAAAACCCGACTTTTTTTTCTTCAATTTCTGCCCCTAATTTACCAAATTTATTCAGTCTACATTTTGTTTGCAATTGGTTAAATGTCCGTGAAAGGGTGCAAGCCAACTAGACTGGTCCCCTGACTTCACAATTCCCCAACGTAGTCTTTAAATGGCTCTGTTTCATTTTAAGTGGGGTCAGGGAACCAGACTACAGGAATACGATTGTTTTTCTTGGTTTTTCCAGCATCTACGAACACAAAACTTCAAAAAAGTCAGTGAAACAATATTTGCTGTAAAGTACTACTAATTCCCCAAAACCATCCATTTCTGAAACTTAACGGCAAAAGCAGATGATTCCCTTTAAGGGTTGTTATGGAATGTCGTGTATCCAGGGTAACTGTCTTTCTCATTTGTATGCAAAAAATGTATGACCGTGTTTCAGTGATATGACGGTGTCGTCAGAATATGCCTACTCGGTGGAGCGCTAGTACCGTACGGAGGGTACCAAATTTCCAGCGCTCCACTCAGTAGAGCTAGCAAAAGACTGAAGAATTTTTATATTTTGTTTGTAGACAGATCCATCAAACAGAGCTGTTGTCAAGTTAGTTGTCTTTTCTGCGTACCAGCCGTTGGTTTTCATGAGGTATCTACATGTAGTAACTCATGCTTAAATTCATTGCATCATTGAGATAACAAAAGCGCTGCATGGCTGGTCTAGCTCATTAAACTCGCCATGCTTGAGCGCAAACACCCGTCCAGTCTGCAGATTCTCGCCCTCCTTAACAACTGCAGACTGATCGTCCAGAACGCAGATGGAATGGAGAATAACGGGCAGTCAATTTCACGATGAGGTCTTAGGCAATCACAGTCAAGTCACTGTTCACAATTCATGTCACTGTTTGCTGGTGTGTACATGTACATGTAGTTGATATTAACTCCTGAGGAATTGACAGGGTTACCAAACAAGTTTCTGAGACAAAGCCGAGTTAACTAGTTCGCCAACGTGGTTTAAAGGGAATGTACCGGTACATCATTGGCCATGTTGGCTTTTGCTGTAATTTTCAGAAATGGAGTATTTGACATGTTTGAGGGGTTAGTATAATATATCAAATATTGTTACACTGACATGTTTGAAGTTTTATGTTCGAAAATGCTGGAAAAACCAAGAAAAACAAAATTGTTCAAGTAGTCTGGTTCCCTGACTCCACTAAAGATGAAATGGATCAATTTATAGTTGCCAGAAAATTGTAAGGTACATGTTGTTTGTAAGGGAACCAGTCTAGCTGGCCTGCACCCGTTCATGAACATGTAACCAATACCAAACAAAGTTTGGACTGAAAAAAGATAAATTTGGAGCAGTAGTTGATATACTGATCAATATATAGTTAGGTTTTTCCAACGGTGGTCGGCCGACCACCGTTGGAAATGTATACAAAAATACCATTTTCTTGAAAATGACTTTCATAATTTTACAGGATGCTTTAGACTCTCATTTACCAACATCCTAATAAGGTATTTCTTAAAAACTTGGTAGTTTTATTTTTCGATGTTTGCAAATGTTGTATATCCCTTTAATCACATGTACATAAAGTACCAGTACAATCGTTAAACCTAACACACTGAGTATACTGTATGTCGGTGAAGGGCAAAACCTACATGTAATTTGATTTACATCACCTGCAACGCAAAATTCCATCTTATGAAAAGTTAATGCAGTACCCGCTGCTATACATCTGATTGGAACCAGCCAACTGATCCCGTTAGCTCGGTGGTCGAGTGGTGAGACATCTGCACTAGAAAACAGGAGGTCGTGGGTTCGAGTCCCACCCGAGTGATACTTTCCAACTCAGTCAGGAGGTAACTGAGTATACAGTGTTTATGCATACGTACGTCTGTGAAGGGCAAAACCTAATTTGAACCCTAACCTTCCCAATTCCTCGGAAATTCTCTTTGCCTAATGGAGGATTTCAAAGGCATTGAGGTCATTTGAAAATCAAAGCGCTGGAGGATATTGCAGGATTGAGGGCATTTACCTCTGGAGGATAATAGAGGATCCAGGTTAGCAGGCCCCAACTGATGCTGGATGAAATTGGTGGATACAATGTAGATGCTCTGGTTGCTTTTGCAAAAAATGTATTGGAGGATTTATAGGCTGTTACTTGAGCAGGATGCATCCAGCATACATTTGTACATACCGGTACCTCTTTATTCCAACTTTTTAGGGCCTTGGCATTGCCAATCCTTAATACAGGATGACAGCAGCATGTACAGGCATGACGCGAGGAAGTACATCTGCACCCGATTTCATCAAAATCATTGTAACTTACAATGTATCGCTCTGATGCGTCGCAGCTGCGACGTGTCCTATGATCCATTTCACAAAGCACGTCGTAAACTTGTGTGCGTTGCGTCGATGGTGTATTTTAAATTATAGCACAAATCAGTGACTTTTTTATATTCAGCATGTTCGGCGTATAGTAAATAGGCGACTGATAATTATTCAACAAAGAATGCAGATTCGTTGGATCTCCTCTCGCAAAAGGTTTAAAAACGTAAAACAAAATGGCGGACGTGTGATGTACCGTAATTTTAAAGGATAAAAAACCTCTTGGTGGACTGCAAAGCTACTTTGAACATGTTGAAATTTCAACTGCAATACTCCAGACTAATTCATAATTATTCCAGGCATTTTCTATGTACAACTTTACATATGTTGTCTTGAAATTATAGTCTCGTTTATATATTTTTTTTATGGCATAAAACTGGCTACAAAAAGGATGGTTCTTATTTTGCGATGACCACTAGACACGTTGTTACTTGAGACATGTTTTAAGCCATTGTCAAGGAAATTACAACGCGTTCAACACATCGCAAGTTCCGTGAAATGGATCATATGACGCGTCACGAGTTGCGACGTCTTACACGTAGCAACCTGGGTTGTGACGTGTTGCAGCGCTTCGTGAAATCAGGTGCAGGCTAATGAACTGATAAGTGCATTGAAATCCGATTATAACATGCCAGAAAACCCAGTGGAGGATTTTGGAGGATCCAGGCAGAGACCTCCAGCGACAAAAAGTGAATGATTTTGAAGGATTCAGATGCTTAGAGTTTTTTACTCTTTGCCATCGGGGATATTGGAGGAATCGGGCTGCTTCTGGGCAAGAGAGCTTAGTCAAAGTGAGTTAGGTTAATCCAAGTAAGCCTTCGATAATAATTTGGTAGGTTTCTCTTGGATAAATGCAACTGATCCTAGATATATACGCTGATAACTGTCCATTATTTACACAGCTTTAGTAACAATTCATGTGGCTCAGGCTACCGCAGTGACAACTTCAAGTACTCCTGCCAAAGTGAAACCTTCAGCGAGCTACAAAGCCAAACCATCAAGCTCCACGCCGACTGTTCTCTCACTGCAAGAAAGATTGGGTGAGTATCACACAGATACAGTTATACATGTATAGTAGCACCGGACTCATGTTCTGGTGTTTCAGAGGCAACAGTGACGTGGGTTCGAGCCCGGGCGCGGACACTTAAGCAAGGCACTTAACCATTCTTGCTTCGTCCTTCGGATGGGACGCAAAGCCGTAGGTCCCGTGTGTTGTAAAAGGCCTAACGCACGTGAAAGAACCCAATATCGCTACGAGAAGGGGTTCGCCCCGGTGTTTCTGGCGGGAAGGATGTGTATACATCAAGTTGGTGTGATGTTGCCCCCCGGATGCTTTGCCGACTATATAATCAGACACAGGTAGTAGCGAGGTTCGACTTTAACGGTAGCCAGCTAGCCAAATGCTTGTCAAAACGGCGGCGGACAAGTCAAATTATTCCTTAACACTAACCCTCCAGGCTGTTTTGGCTAGAAACCCTGCCGAACACAGCAACATGCAACATTTGTCTAAGTGACAAGCCTGCCCAGTGCAGCAAGATCCATCAGGCCAAAAGTCTCAAGGCCAAAACAGTCTCAGAGTGTGTGGTCACCGAATGCAGCACGATGCAACTGTGACATTATTCAATAGGACAAGCTCTCATTAAAGATATAGTCCATCATTTGTAATTTGTGCATTTTGTTCGTTTGAAGCAACACAAGTGTTCAAAATCCAATGAAGGATACTGAACAACTAACCTGATGAAGTTTCAGCTCAGCTTCAGCTGTATATTCCGAGAAAAACAGCATTCTAGCCTCAATTTCAAATCAAAAGTTGCTGAATCATGTTTTGAATTGGGCCTGAATTCAGCGTCCGAGACACGTTCTTACTGAGCGGGTTGCAGCTATGCGCGATGTCGCGCACTGATCCGACGAATTACAAATGTATAGCAAACCGCATGCGCGTGTGCGACGTGCCAATGCTTGCGCACGCTTCGCCAAATAACAAAACGAACTACTAGTTTAAATTTTCCTACGGTGTGTCTTAAGACGCACCCTTGGAAAGGCCTTCTTTTGTTGTTTACTTCAAAATGACAGCTTGCCAGAAAGAATAATTTCACAGGGAGTTTAGTCCCCTTACTATCTTTCAACCAAGTATGTTTTTCAACAATAATTACATGTACACCAGTTACTTTTCGGATGGCTGCAAATGATGGACTCTGGCTTTAAATCAGATGAAAGAATGCATCAAAGTGTACCAGACTTTTCCACCTGATTCACTGTGTTGTGTCTGGCAGTGGTAGGGTTAAGTAGCCTGGCTGGAGAGTCAGAAATGTTGGGGCTGCGGCAAAGATAAAAAGACAGGAAGAAATAAATCATAAAATTCAGAAAGCTAACCTGTATCAATTTGTGTCTATTATTAACTGTTCAGGGGTAAATTCTGATCTGTTTATTAAAAACACTTACAAGATTGTGTCGGGATACATGTTTTACATGTATGCACTTTGTTGTTTATGAGACACTCTAGCAAAAATAAAACATGTGGGCTAGTGAAAATGCCCGCTGGCTAGTTAAGGCTCTGAGGCCAAGGCATTGCACAAGGCCGAGGCCATGAAAATTGGCCTCTAAACCGGCCTCGATCTCCAACACTGGCCCAGATCTACATGTACGTGTTCGTAGGGTGAGGCCTATTGCTCCTGACCTGTTTCCATGGGTTTCCGACAGAATATTCTTCTGGGGTTTTACTTCTAAAAAATATCCTTCAAGAGCCACGGTTGTGGGCGCGTAATTCCTTCTAAAAAATATCCTTCAATAGCCACAGGTTTGTGGGCGTGTAATTCCTTCTTAAAAAATATCCTTCAATAGCCACAGGTTGTGGGCGCGTAATTCCTTCTTAAAAATATCCTTCAAGAGCCACAGGTTTGTGGGCGTGTAATTCCTTCTTAAAAATATCCTTCAATAGCCACAGGTTTGTGGGCGTGTAATTCCTTCTTAAAAATATCCTTCAATAGCCACAGGTTGTGGGCGCGTAATTCCTTCTTAAAAATATCCTTCAATAGCCACAGGTTGTGGGCGCGTAATTCCTTCTTAAAAATATCCTTCAATAGCCACAGGTTTGTGGGTGCGTAATTCCTTCTTAAAAAATATCCTTCAATAGCCACAGGTTTGTGGGCGCGTAATTCCTTCTAAAAAATATCCTTCAAGAGCCACAGGTTGTGGGCGCGTAATTCCTTCTAAAAAATATCCTTCAATAGCCACAGGTTTGTGGGCGTGTAATTCCTTCTTAAAAAATATCCTTCAATAGCCACAGGTTGTGGGCGCGTAATTCCTTCTTAAAAATATCCTTCAAGAGCCACAGGTTTGTGGGCGTGTAATTCCTTCTTAAAAATATCCTTCAATAGCCACAGGTTGTGGGCGCGTAATTCCTTCTTAAAAATATCCTTCAATAGCCACAGGTTTGTGGGCGTGTAATTCCTTCTTAAAAATATCCTTCAATAGCCACAGGTTGTGGGCGCGTAATTCCTTCTTAAAAATATCCTTCAAGAGCCACAGGTTTGTGGGCGTGTAATTCCTTCTTAAAAATATCCTTCAAGAGCCACAGGTTTGTGGGCGTGTAATTCCTTCTAAAAAATATCCTTCAATAGCCACAGGTTTGTGGGCGTGTAATTCCTTCTTAAAAAAATATCCTTCAATAGCCACAGGTTGTGGGCGCGTAATTCCTTCTTAAAAATATCCTTCAAGAGCCACAGGTTTGTGGGCGTGTAATTCCTTCTTAAAAAATATCCTTCAAGAGCCACAGGTTTGTGGGCGTGTAATTCCTTCTAAAAAATATCCTTAAAGAGCCACAGGTTTGTGGGCGCGTAAATCCTTCTAAAAAATATCCTTTATTAGCCACAGGTTTGTGGGCGCGTAATTCCTTCTTAAAAATATCCTTCAAGAGCCACAGGTTTGTGGGCGTGTAATTCCTTCTAAAAAATATCCTTCAATAGCCACAGGTTTGTGGGCGTGTAATTCCTTCTTAAAAAATATCCTTCAATAGCAACAGGTTGTGGGCGCGTAATTCCTTCTTAAAAATATCCTTCAAGAGCCACAGGTTTGTGGGCGTGTAATTCCTTCTAAAAAATATCCTTCAAGAGCCACAGGTTTGTGGGCGTGTAATTCCTTCTAAAAAATATCCTTCAAGAGCCACAGGTTTGTGGGCGCGTAATTCCTTCTAAAAAATATCCTTAAAGAGCCACAGGTTTGTGGGCGCGTAATTCCTTCTAAAAAATATCCTTTATTAGCCACAGGTTTGTGGGCGCGTAATTCCTTCTTAAAAATATCCTTCAAGAGCCACAGGTTTGTGGGCGTGTAATTCCTTCTAAAAAATATCCTTCAATAGCCACAGGTTTGTGGGCGTGTAATTCCTTCTTAAAAAATATCCTTCAATAGCCACAGGTTGTGGGCGCGTAATTCCTTCTTAAAAATATCCTTCAAGAGCCACAGGTTTGTGGGCGTGTAATTCCTTCTAAAAAAATATCCTTCAATAGCCACAGGTTTGTGGGCGTGTAATTCCTTCTTAAAAAATATCCTTCAATAGCCACAGGTTGTGGGCGCGTAATTCCTTCTTAAAAATATCCTTCAAGAGCCACAGGTTTGTGGGCGTGTAATTCCTTCTTAAAAAATATCCTTCAATAGCCACAGGTTGTGGGCGCGTAATTCCTTCTTAAAAATATCCTTCAATAGCCACAGGTTTGTGGGCGTGTAATTCCTTCTTAAAAAATATCCTTCAATAGCCACAGGTTGTGGGCGTGTAATTCCTTCTTAAAAAATATTCTTCAAGAGCCACAGGTTTGTGGGCGTGTAATTCCTTCTAAAAAATATCCTTAAAGAGCCACAGGTTTGTGGGCGCGTAATTTTCTCTAAAAAATATCCTTTATTAGCCACAGGTTTGTGGGCGTGTAATTCCTTCTTAAAAAATATCCTTCAATAGCCACAGGTTGTGGGCGTGTAATTCCTTCTAAAAAATATCCTTCAATAGCCACAGGTTTGTGGGCGTGTAATTCCTTCTTAAAAAATATCCTTCAATAGCCACAGGTTGTGGGCGCGTAATTCCTTCTTAAAAATATCCTTCAAGAGCCACAGGTTTGTGGGCGTGTAATTCCTTCTAAAAAATATCCTTCAATAGCCACAGGTTTGTGGGCGTGTAATTCCTTCTTAAAAAATATCCTTCAATAGCCACAGGTTGTGGGCGCGTAATTCCTTCTTAAAAATATCCTTCAAGAGCCACAGGTTTGTGGGCGTGTAATTCCTTCTAAAAATATCCTTCAAGAGCCACAGGTTTGTGGGCGTGTAATTCCTTCTTAAAAAATATCCTTCAATAGCCACAGGTTGTGGGCGCGTAATTCCTTCTTAAAAATATCCTTCAAGAGCCACAGGTTTGTGGGCGTGTAATTCCTTCTAAAAAATATCCTTCAATAGCCACAGGTTTGTGGGCGTGTAATTCCTTCTTAAAAAATATCCTTCAATAGCCACAGGTTGTGGGCGCGTAATTCCTTCTTAAAAATATCCTTCAAGAGCCACAGGTTTGTGGGCGTGTAATTCCTTCTAAAAAATATCCTTCAATAGCCACAGGTTTGTGGACGCGTAATTCCTTCTAAAAAATATCTTACAGCAGCCACTAGTTTGTGGGCGCGTCATTCCTTCTATAAAAGCAAAAAAATATCCTTCGACAGCCATTCCTATACCCGAATGTAATTCACTATGAAAAAGATCGCCTTCACTCATTAAATTTAAACTTTCAACTAAATTACGGGTAGCAGCTCACTACGTGAAACATGGTATGGTGTTACCTCTACCCAAATAAAGTTTGTTTAATTCATTTATATCCGTTATTGTTTTCACACTTTTCCTATAATTTACCACACGCCTTTAAACACATACAACCTTCTTTTGTATTAAATCAAAAATTACACCGAATTTTATTATAAATAGTTATAAACGATTGATTCGTATCGATTAAAAACAGTCGATAACCTCATTAGACATTATAATTGTAAACAGTATTGTATAATTTTCTTTGAAACTCAGCCTTCAAGTTTTATCTGTAAAAACTGTAAAAATTATAGGCTCATGATATACTCAAACCATATCTGCTAACCTCCAAGTGAATACAATTTTTAACATTCCTAACCTTGTTGGTAATTTGTAAAATATTGTATAGATTATAATATTTCTAAAAATTCCAGTTAGTACTTTTGTTCCTTCAAGTATAAATTATAATATTACTAAAAACTCAATTTGGTACCTTTGTTTCTTCAAGACAACCGGAATTCCCTTAGCTGAATAATTTTAAAATAGTATCGAAATGTAATAAATTATAACCACAGAACTGTGAGTATATCGCGTGCATTTTGAGTTCTTATTGTTTCCTCTCTGTGTGCTCTCTGTGTCTTTGAACTACCTATCCCCTCGTGCCGGGTTTGACATTACTGGATCTTTAACCGGTCGTCAAGTCCACCAACGGGCACATTCCTGAACGGTTTTAAAACCCATTTTCTTCCACGGCGACTATCTGAACGTCCGGCGTATCGTGAGGTACGTTAGGGACTGTAGTGGACTTTAGGTTCACTCAAACAACAAAACAATCTCTTCATTGTCTTCTCTATACAGTTTTCTTCAGGCTTACCAGCTACAGTGCCTATAGTCTTGACCCAAGACGTCAGTCACCAATAGTGATGGTTGCATTGTTGTAGAGCGCCCTTGCACTTGTTATTTACTTTTTGGCACTAACCTCTTGGGAATCTTGCAGTGATGGAGGTGTGGCCGTTTTTATGTAAATTAGACCCTGTATTATCTTCAAACAAAACGGCAGCTTGATACCGAAAGTGGCTCCTACAAGGGTACATGTAGCGTTGCAATTTGCAATGCTTGATCACAGCTTGTAGTGCTTACATGTTTGTTTACAACCGTAGCGCGAAGACTATAATCTTTAAAAAAAAAAGGCTTAGGCCAAAAAAAAAAGTCTCCGGTTTCTGGTATGCGCGCGCGTCGCCGTAGCCATGCGCGTCGGCAAAATGAAAACGTTTTTTTTTTCAATACAAGATGATGTCTCAAAACCGCCAAACTCACTGGTTTGACTGGAATCCTGCTGCTGCACAATTTTAACGTGTTTTTTTAGATGGGGTTATGATCGAGAATAAGCTTTATGTGGCCTCTCTGGACTCCCATATATTTGCACTAAGTTTAGTCGGGCACCATTTGCAGTCATCAGCCAACATTTGAAGCCCCCCCCCCAAAAAAAAAAAAAACAGGTAAAAAAAAAAAAAAAGCCGCGTCGCCGCACCTTTTTTGGGGCAAGCTCCATACCAGAAACCGGAGACTTTTTTTTTTTGCCTTAGCGTTCAGCACTAAACGTTCACTGTTGCGCATGTGACTGACTAAAAAATCATTTCGGGATCACTGTTTGGTTCCGTAGGAAAGCCTAGGAAGAAATTAAGGAAAAAAAAAAGTGAAATGGCTACTACAGGATTCCCAAGACGGCGCGCTCGTCTAATCATGCCGTTAGATATTATACACGATCCACTATCAATCTTTAGCATCTTGGGCCAGGACTACAGAGCCTAGGGGCTTTTGAGGAAAACTTGGTTTATGACCAGAATTAAACAATAATTTCTATAATCTCTTCATTTGCAGAGATGTTGAAGAAGGTGTTGCCCGATTACGGAGTGTTCAACCAAGGCACCAGCATGCCATTCGACGAGTCGTGGAAGATTGATGAGTGGTCTGCAGAAACCGTGGCCCCATGGTTAAATCCAGGTACATCACAAATCCACAAGTAGTTCCTCAACGGCTACAGGGGGAGAGTTGGGGGAGACCACTAGTAGATTAGATTAGATTAGATTTCTTTATTTTCAAGCTCAAAATTACATGAAAATTGATTTCCCAGTGTACAATTTAAAATATGTATACATACAATAATTTAAAAAATACCGGTACACAAAAACATGACAAAGCCAAAATATATCATAACATGTACATCAACAAAAACACAGTTACAACTATACAATCATAAAAACTCTAGGAGCAGTAAAGTAGGATTTCGGGCTGTCCGGTGATTAGGGAAGAAAATGAGGAAATAAGACGGGACAGGATGGAAAAAGCTGGGTCTGGCAATGTACAAAATGTATAGGACAGGGTATGATTGATGGGTAGGGGGGTGAGAAGGGAAAGGGGGGGGTAGCATGGAAAGAGAGGATGAGGGAAAAACATTGGAACAGGGTAGGGTAGTGTAGGGAGGGGCTGGGCTGAGTAGAGTTGGGTATGGAATAACTGAGTTATTAAAACAGACAGCTTACAGCCACTTATCTAGTAGTCTGAGTATCACCCATTATCCACGGAGCCCGGACTCCTGTCTAACATCTCCTGTCTAAGCATGCAGATTTATGCGATCTCGCACCTCAGCCAATCGGAGTCGACTTTACTAAATCGTGACGTCATTCATTCCCAAATCAGGACTAAACGTTTGGTTGGTCAATTCGAATGCAGTGTTTTGTAATCCAACAACAGCCGGGCGCGTTATCGAGTAACATGACATACATAGCCGGTGACGCAGAGCTTTTTAATCCATTGTCTATGACGCGCAACGGGTGAATGACGAAGACCCGATATAGAAAGCGCCCACTGATTGGTCAAAATCTAGGAGGTCAAGAGACAGGGTCTTGCCTAATTAATCAGCGAATCTGCTCACATATCATAGACCCATGACATTCCTGTAACATAGACTACTTATCTAGGGCATTTGAATGAAATAAAATCCACCACAAGCGTAGGGATAAAAACTATCTGGTGAATGTCGAGTTAAAAAGTAGGAGGGAGATTTGAATGTAGGTGCCCATGCCAGGCGCCATGCCTGATGCTCATGCGAAGATGCTATGGGTTCTTGAACATTCGAGAGAAAAAAAATATTAGTATTGCGTAGTTTGGACTTTACCCACACGAACCAGTACGCGCACGTGATGTTTCCCGTACGGCAATGTTTGCAGAGATCCGTTCCATGACATTTGTAAAGAGTTTGGAAAAGAACAGCTTCTGTCGTATTTCCTTGTTGAATAGGTGCCTGTGTTAACCAGTACGCGCTGGAGGCCGTGTAAATACACAAACGCTTTGCGGTATTTGGCACAGATGACAGATGAGCACGCAGGGAGCGAGGCCATAACTATCTGTCAGCAACCGAGCGAGGCCGGGAATGCCCGAGGGGGATGGCTTTTTCAACAATAATTACGCCAGTTACTTTTCGGATGGCTGCAAATGATGGACTCTGGCTTTAAATCAGATGAAAGAATGCATCAAAGTGCACCAGACTTTTTCACCTGATTCACTGTGTTGTGTCTGGCAGTGGTAGGGTTAAGTAGCCAGGCTGGAGAGTCAGAAATTATGGGGCTGCGGCAAAGATAAAACGACAGCAAGAAATAAATCATTAAATTCAAAAAGCTAACCTGTATCAATTTTGTGTCTAATTTTATCAACTGTTCAAGGTTAAATTCTGATCTGTTTATTAAAAACACTGACAAGATTGCCTCGGGATACACGTTTGACATGGTATGCACATTGTTGTCCATTTGAGCCATAATATAGATCTGTGACGTACAGTTTTCGATATTGATAGCTTTCCTTGAGGGTTATGCATTTAAGTTCGTTAAACGTTGCTAACGTGACTGAAGGTGTGATCGCTTGGTACATGGCATAGACGGGTTTACGGCTTCTGACTAGTGCCCCTTGAAGAAAGACATTGACAAAATGTGGAACTACATCTAGTGCCATGGCCTAGCGGTGGAGTGTCATGGCCTAGCAGTTAAGAGCACCGGACTCATTCTCTGGTGTTTCAGAGGCAACAGTGGCGTGGGTTGGAGCCCGGGCGCGGACACTTGTGCCCTTAAGCAAGGCACTTAACCATTATTGCTTCTTCCTTCAGATGGAACGTTAAGCCGGAGGTCCCATGTGTTTTTTTAAAGGCCTAACAAATGTAAAAGAACCCAGTAACAGTTATCGCTAAGAGAAGGGGTTTGCCCCAGTGTTTCTGGCCTCCTGGTTATACTCCCTTGTGGAAGTCCTTAGGAGAAGAACCAACCAAGTACCAAGTACCGAGTAGTACCAACTACTGGGTAGCTTAGTTGGTAGAGCACCAGAATGACAGTCGGTTGTAACACACCTAATCAGTTGCGGTTTGTTTGAAATATTCATTATTTTTAGATGGGAGCTTTGATAGTCAGTTCAACCCCAACGTGGACGCTGACGACTTCAACATCCCCACCATGAAGCCCTTTCACTTTGACTTTGACGATAACGACTTCCACAAGCACGACGATCTCTTCAACGCCAACAGCAGCGGCATGGGCAGCTACACCTGGATCACGATGGCCGTCGTGCTGGTCGTCTTCTTCAAAGTCACGGTGATTGCGGTGATGATCGCACGCAGGATGCGCTACAGGCAGCACCGAGTTGTCGTCAGGAGCTCCAACAGTGAGTGGGGTGATCCTTTTTTTCCTGAGTCGCAGAGTTTATTTCCAAAACGCGATGTATCCATTTGAAAAATGTGAAAAATTCCCGTGATTATGAAACGTTATATAACAAATAACAGTATGGCAGCTGTTTATATGCTTTACTTTTCATTTTATTAATTTATTAACTAGTTCGTGTCGGAGGACGTGATATGACGCACTGGCTGTTTTTTTTTTACACAGGCACGGCTAAGGGGTTAAGACGTCAAGATTGGCTCGACTCTCCTCCGGGTGACCTCTAAACATACTAATCCTGTGTGCCTTTTGTGCACACACACACACACACAGTCTGTGAAGTCTGTGGAGGCAGATCGTGTGTTGATCTTGAATTGGCCGTTGCACACAGCCTATTGTGTTGTACAATTTACGTCCCAGTGCACACCCCGGAGTATTGAAACATATCAGGTTTCGGCAGGAAATATCATAACGGTTTTGTTGAAATTACTCTTGCGCATCAGTATTTGGCATGTTTGGGGTATTAGGCTGTATATCAGAAGTTGACTGGAAAATTGTGCGTTTTGCGAAATCAAATTCGAAACCGAACTGACCTGGAAAAAGCCCAAATATCTGGCATGGGCAACTTTGTAAAGAATCATACCGTACTATTTCCTGAAGACGCGTAATGTTACCTAATAGTTGGCCTACACTTTATAGATTGTGCAGTGTAGACTGCACGTTCACCCAGTGGGTTGACGTTGGTCGTAGTCAGTGGCGTCGCCAAGGGGGGGCCAGGGGGGGCACGTGCCCCCCCTGGAAAACCTAGTGCCCCCCCGAGTGCCCCCCCATCAAATGCTGGTGCCCCCCCTATCCTCTGCAAAATTCTGCGCGTTGTTAAAATCATTACCTCAAAAAAAGCAATTTCTGGAGATATCTTCAGATCGAATTTAGCATCAAATGGTGCCCCCCCTATCCTCTGCAAAATTCTGCGCGTTGTTAAAATCATTACCTCAAAAAAAGCAATTTCTGGAGATATCTTCAGATCGAATTTAGCATCAAATGTGGCACCATTTTGCATCTAGCCCATCCTCCGTATGCGAAAATTTTCCAAAGGGGAGGGGGGTACCCCCCTCCCCTTAGACCCCTCCCCCAGGACGGCGATCCGTATCCACCTAAGTGCCCCCCCATCAAATGCTGGTGCCCCCCTATCCTCTGCAAAATTTTGCGCGTTGTTAAAATCATTACCTCAAAAATAGCAATTTCTGGAGATATCTTCAGATCGAATTTAGCATCAAATGTGGCACCATTTTGCATCTAGCCCATCCTCCGTATACGAAAATTTTCCAAAGGGGAGGGGCGCACCCCCTCCCCTTAGACCCCTCCCCCAGGACGGCGATCCGTATCCACCTAAGTGCCCCCCATCAAATGCTGGTGCCCCCCCTGTGCCCCCCCAGATTGAAAAGTCTGGTGACGCCACTGGTCGTAGTGGGCACACTAACTCTGCAATAATATTGCACTGCATTAATTTGCAAACTGTTTAATTTTTTTTGGGTGTTTTTTTCTGTTTATTTCAGGGGTTTTTTTCTTAACTGAAATGACCTGACCCTAAAATCGCAAACGCGAAACCAACCTGACCCGACTGAAATGATGGAAAAACTGAGCCGACCCGAAGTCGATTTTGGGTTATGTAGGTCGTTTATCGGTTTCAGTTCAGGTTTGCACAACATTATTAAGGACATGTTCATCCTCAATGGGCTCATTGCATCGGTTATCAGTGGCAGGATTCTAAACGATTCCATGGAATCATCGTGTCATCATGAAGTTATCAGCTTTTACACGATGCAGATAACTTCGTTGTTGGTAGATTCAAAGGAGTTCGTTCTGAACCTTGCAGATGATATCCTACTTTTTCAGTGAGTTCATTGCGAATAAAGTTGTGCCTAATTTTGCAGTGCACTGGTATGGGGAAAATTAGAAATCTGTTAGGAATTTTCAAATGGCATTCATCTTGGGCTACAGGACAGAAACTCTGAAGAGTTTAATAGAGCATTTCCTATGCCCATGACTAAGATAGCAAGTTAGCTCTTCTGAAAGCATTTGTACATGTACGAGTGTTTTTGCGTGCAAACATTGAATGATACAGTGTGCCAATAGATGTTTATGTGTAATGACTGGTAATCACTCTTACAACAAACTGTATTACAACATTTATTCATTTCTTATTTTAACTGGGTAGCCCATTCAGTGGAATCCACTGGTCTCCCATGGGGCCCAGTAAAGAGAAGACAGTGTGAAGAAATTACAGTTTTAGAGGTGGGAGCAAAAGCCCTGAAGAGTATTCTGAGGGAAACCCACGGAATCATGTAGGGACTGAAAACCCAATCCACATATTGGCCCAGGCGGGATTCGAACCCGGGTCACCGCAGCGGACAGGTGGAAGTACCCCTACACCAACCTGACTCCCCCTAAAATAAAAATAACCCTTAGTTGGAAAGCAGCAGCCTATCCAATCCAAGACAAATGCCATGTAAGGTGCCGTATTGTGAATTGCACCAACTGGGTTCCAAACTAGGTATGTCCCATATTCATAAAAGGAATGTACTTTATGGAACAGGAAAGTACAATGTACAAAGTTTCAAGACCAACAGTCTTGGATGTCCATGTAGTCAAATCCTTGCCAGTCCAACACAAGGCCACCACAAGTCATCCGATCTCATAGCAAATGACAAGCTATTGAAATGAACTTTGACAATCAAGGCGTTTCTCTGATACTGTTCATCCCTTATTACTTGTAACATGACCCTAAGCTTGGACATGTACAGGGTTCCTTCTGGGTAGGAAACACAATATAGACCCCAAAAGCAAGTCTTTAGAAATCTATCTGCCCCATAAGGGAAACACTATGGAGTTTGAGATTTCATTGAGAACAAAGGAGAACAAAAGAAGGGAAACAAAGGTCTTCCCAACAGGTACATGTATATGTGTGATCTGATACACCGTGCCCACTGGGGACATGCACACAGTACGGAACAGAATATTGTATACATCTTCACAGGGCAATTTCTATAGAACCTTGTCTCCACAAGGTTTTCACAAAATAGATATATATGGATTTTACTTGAAAACTAGGAATTTCCAAGGTACATGTACATGTACATGTATGGTGATCTGTTTGCAAATGGTGGAGTTTTAGAAAAGGGATATTAAGTCCGAATTTCAGCCAAGAAAATTAATTCTGGTTAAAATAAGAGCATTTTGAAACTGTACTTTCAAACTTGAAAACTTTAGTACACGAGAACAAAGATTTGTCTCCACAAGGATACAAATTTCAGTATGTGTGTATCAGGCTGTGTGGTTTGACTTCTGTGATTGACTTGACCAACGACTCCGCCCTCCATATAACTTGCTGTTCTTCATTCTCTGTACAGGCAACTCGGTCACTGTACCCAGCGAGTTCACCAGCGACCAAGCCCACCTGGTTACCCCGGCCAACATCGTCTACGTGGACACGGTTGGCGCTGCGCCCCCTCCGCTACCGCAGATGTTCACGCCACCCCCGTATTGTGAATCCCTGCTGCCCAATAGCCAGGGTGGCCCCACTACACCAACTGAGGAGCCGCCTCCATATTCAGATTAGGTAGGGGATGTGCAAGTATGAACATTTTTGATACAAATTAAACAAAAGAGCCACCTGACCAAGTGATGATCATGCATTCCAATTTGTTTTTCTTCAGGGGAAGGCCATTTGTAAACCGTGTCAGTGGGCTGTTATTGTACAAATATAACATGGTTTGAGGCATGGATTTGTAGGTAAATGGTTACAGCCTACTAAAGCACTAGTCTGGTCTATGATATGTGAGCAGATTCGGCGATTACTTATGCAAAAAAAGTCTGCTTCTTAACCTCCAGACTCTGACCATTTCTTCGGTCACCCATTGTTGTATCACAAAAACATGGCATTTGAAATTGACCAATCAACAGCTTAGTCCACATTTCGAATCGAAATGATGTCACCCATTGTTGTATTACAAAAACATGGCATCTAAAATTGACCAATCAACAGCTTAGTCCACATTTCGAATCGAAATGATGTCACCCATTGTTGTATTACAAAAACATGGCATCTAAAATTGGCCAATCAACAGCTTAGTCCACATTTCGAATCGAAATGATGTCACCCATTGTTGTATTACAAAAACATGGCATCTAAAATTGACCAATCAACAGCTTAGTCCACATTTCAAATCGAAATGATGTCCCAGTTTCTAAAGTCCACTCCGATTGGCTGGTGCACACAGGGTCGCATACAATTTGCGTGTTAGGATATATCAGATGTTCGACTGTGGCTCTGCACACGTGAATTCCGATCCCCACGTGAGTACACGAATTCCGACCAGTACTAGTGACTTCCAACTAGTACTGGAGCACAGTAACAAATCAGTATTATGCCTGTGCCCCAACATAAAAAAAAACACCTGCAATGTTAGCAGAAGGTGACTCAAAAAATTTACCTTAAAAAAAAAATCAGTATTATGCCTCTGCCCCTACATAAGAAAAACACCTGCAATATTAGCGGTTTGAATTTAAGACAAACGGTTAATAGAAAAGGTTAAAAGTAAGTTACATGCCAGAAACATCTTGCTCATTGCAACAAATTTGTCGGGTGCCCGGCAGAAGGGCATATGAGCGTTCTGACAGAGCAAATAGATTTCAAGGAAATTGCATTGAAAGGTTCCAAAAATATTTAAATTTCATTAAACTAGGGGCAGTTTTTTTGCATATGACCTTTGGCTGGGAACGTTTTGGCGATTGCGCGCTATTGCATAGGGGCATATGTACATATGCCCTTCTGCCGGGCACACGACGAATTGTAAATGGAATTGCAATAAAGATACTGTATGCTGGTGATACTATACAATCTTGTATTTGAGTGCAGTGGATGACTCGCAAATGGACTCCACTGCAGCAATGTTGTGAACAAATTCAGTCAAGATCATTTGATATTATGCCAAAAAAAAAATAAGTCGGTCTCTGGTCAGCGCGCGCGTCGATTTTAATCATGCGCGTCGATCTTTTTTTTTTCCAAAATGTTCCGCGGTAGCTCCAACAGCACCCTGTATTTCCGCACCTCCTCAACTTTTTTTTACCAAAGAGCACTAAGGAATGGGAAATTGCACCAAGGCAAATGATCGAAAGCACCAAGGCAAATTATGGAGGACACCAATGTACTTGAGGACACCACAAAAGCAAAATAGTACCCCACCTTCTCTGTGCAACCCAAGCTTGAAGAAAAAAGAAAAAAGCCGCGTGGCCGCGTCAATTCCGGAACTTTGGTCTGACCAGAGACTGAATTTTTTTTTTTGGGCCTTATAGATCATACTTTGTTGTTGTACCTGTGGTAGTGTAAAGAAAATCTAACTTTAATTATAAGCTCAAGGCATCCTAAGATTCTTCTAACAGTTTTTTGTAAACAAAAAAAAAGTGATCTGTTTGCATTGCAATAAAAGTTTTGCAAAATTAAATTCTAGACCATGGATTCAGGTGTAGATCAAGTTTAAAGTATTCTGCCGGAACCCAGCACTGCCCAGATGTATGTTTTTGTAGGTGTTTTTCCGTTTCTTTTCCTCAAGATAGTATTATTTAGTAAGTTTACAATTATCACAAAAAGTTTTTCAACACTAGATTAAAAACTGCTTCTTCGGTCATTGGATGTATTTGGTACATATATTGTATAGATAAAGGGTATTCACGCTTCGACCCGGTGTTATATGAAATTTGGACTCCTATGAAATCTGGTCCCTTTTACCTGATCAGTGTGGACACTCAGCCTCACATGCATCGGTGAGTTCTCATTGTTCTGTTCTCTGAACAGGCTGAACCACATGATGCAGTCAATGAGTCTGCAGTTCACAGGAGTCCAAATTCAGGTCGGTTTTGGCCCGACACTATTTCCAGTCAAAATAGCACTGAGCAACTTTGCCAGAAAAGTGTCATTTTGACATAAAAGTGTCATTTTGACATAAAAGTGTCATTTTGACATGACAAGTGTCATTTGACATGACGAGTTTCATTTTGTCATGACAATTGTCATTTTGACATGACAAGTGTAATTTTGACACCAAAAGTGTCATGTTGACATGAACAGTTGTCATTTTGACCCAGGAGAGTGTCAATTAAAATCTGACCCAGATTCAGAGTCGAATCTGACCCTAATACGAGTGTACAGTAGATCAGATGGGGGTATCGTCTCACGCACAGGGTATTCAGAATGTCTTGATATGTGTACATTTCTTGCTTGAACAGTTTATGTAAAAAAAAATCTTCTGAAGTACTGACATATTTTTGGACACTTTTAATGCTTATTTTATTGAATTACTTCTGTAGTTTTAGAAACTACGTGCTTTGTGTATTTATTGTACATTAAATGTACGGATAGACTAGTCATTTGTTTCTCATGTAACATTGCTATTTATGGTATATGGGTATGATATTAAAGGCGTTAACAAGTGTTGTAACGAAATAATCGTACATGTATGTGCTCTTTCCTGTGAAGAGGGCCAGCCTTTACTGCGGAAAATGTCGCATGTAGCAGTAGGGCGTTATAAAAAGACCACTTCATGTATTTATAAGGACCATTCTTAGTGTATGTTTAATGTTTTTTTCGTCTGTTTTTGAAACCCATGAATTGTTGGTACAAATGAACCTTCTATGTTAGGAAATATTCAGGAAAGAATGTTGCAACCTGGCGCCACTTTTTTCATTATAATATTATCTCAACGAAGGTCAGTCAGTGCCAACATGTTGAAAAGACATGAATCTTGGGACTGACTGAGAATCACTGCCATGTTTGTTAAAAGATACTTTGAAAATGCACTCGACTCTCCATGGACTTTGTGCACAACCAGTTAAGACGTGGCGTCTGGATACTACATTCTTTCCCAATTGTCACTGAAGAAGATGTGATGTATCGGTTTCTTTGGTGAAGATCGTCCAGCAAAAAAAACAAAAAAAACAATGAAATCATTTTGATTTATGTGTCCTTCATTTACTTTGCGCATAGGGCCTATTAATGCAAATTGTTTAAACTATAATAGGGAGGCAAAGTTCACTAAAGTTGTGTGTATATGCATTTATAATAAACATCTTTGTGTTGTAACATTAATTCTCTGGAGTAGACTCATTGCTTTCTCGTTTTGTTTTCCCCCACTCTGGCTGATTTGTATTTAAATTTGGGCGATTCACAATGCAGTGCGCCACCAAGAGTTTTCCACGGAGAGTTCATTTTTCACAGTGCATTGTGGGAGATGGTCGACAAATTCGCAGCGCGGGACATTTGGAATCGTTAGTTCTTCCGGTCAGTGGTTTCGTAAGCGTATGATTCGAGGCTCTGTTTCTTTTCTTGCTATCAATATGGTGTTTTTGGTAAGGCGGCAGAACGCTATGCCCCAATCTATGACATATTAGCTCAAGTTGTCAACCGACACTCATTCAAATTGGCCGTGTTTTGTCGACCATAAACTTGAAAAATGGACTCTCCGTGGCAAACTCTTGGTGGCGCACTGCATTGTGAATCGCCCGAATTACAGAAAAAAAATAGGCAGGTGTTGCTGACTTAGTTAACTCATATCACGCGGCAGCCTAGCTAATCTTCCCCTTCGCTCACTGACTCGCACTCAGAAACTGTCTCTTGTGAATTAGACTGGCTACCTATCTCATTGGCAGGCACTTGTTCTGGGTTCAGATTTGCGAAGCTTACCTATTCAGGTAGTACGCCCTACAACAGAGTCCATAAAAAAAAAAGTTCGTTATAATGGTCGTTCGTCATAGTGATTGAGCATTATACCGGTAGTAGAATTTAATATTTCAGGAGCCAAAGGAGATAATTCGTTATAGCCGGATGTTCGTTATAGCCAAATGGTCGTTATAGTGGTGTTCGTAATAGCGGCATTAATGTGATGTGCGGGCATCCGTGACAACGTGTACATGTATTATAGAATCTGGCTATGCTAGTTTCAGTGTAAAACGGACTCTGTGAGTGTCACAACGCACATGTCTGTCTGTGCGTGTTTTTTGTTGTTGGTTTTTTTTTTGGGGGGGTGTGGGAAAATAGTCTTACTCTCAATTACTTGTGATTCGTTATGCACGTGCTGTAGTGATTTTATACAGATTTTTAAACCTCTATATTATCGATTTTATACGCTCACAGTTAATCTGAGGGAATATGTACATGTAACAAAGATTCCAAACCAATGTGTATACCACTATGAAAGCAAGTTAAAACTTCAATTCAAACTCAATTTCTCCAAATCTTTTTTTTTTTTAAAGGCTGTTTGGTAGGAATGCTACTGGTTTAGGTAAAATAAAAAAAGTAGTACCATTGTCGCCTACCTACCTGACTGGTGGCCTTTTCAAAATCCAGGATTCGTTTTGACTTATGCTTCAGGGGATTTCAGGCCCCCAGCCTCAGGGTGTCAGGCTAAGTTTAGTGCATGTTGTGCTTCTGGAATTGTAATCGCTTAATAGAGAGGCTAAAGTTAGAATCGTTCATTTGGTTTGCTTCCTAGTAGCACGCAATGGTGCAGTGGTTACGGTCGAGTAATGTTTGACTCATGTACGATGGTCCCTGTCAGGAACATAGTGTCTGTGCCCTTGGGTACGATACTTAACCACTCTCTCCACCCAGGAGTATAAATGGGTACCTGTGAGGGTGGAGTACAGATCGAATGTGCGCTGATATCGGCTGCCGCGTGGCTATCGAGAGGGGCCAACATCATCGCCATCCTGAAGCTTATAACAAACGAAAGGACCAGGCAAAGAGCTACAATTTGTTTGCTATGTTTTCAGTTCAAACTGGTGGAAAAAAAACCATGATGCATGGAAGAACATACCCCCATCGTAGACAGCCACCTACCCGAAGAGCAAGCTGGTTTCAGAAGTGGTAGCTCCATGCACTTTCGACCAATCTACATTGCCCACACAATACATTAAAGACTCTTTTCAAGATGGCCACATACTCATTCACTCACTCTACCGCATAGACATATGGGGTGCGTCGCGCTGATCTCCTGTGTCTGCGGTTTGTAGCCTGGTTCCAGAGCCTATCAACCTTGATGGGCGCTAACAGTTGCTGCAAAAAATTGCCACAAGCTGCTGCAGTATTTGTTAATCTCAGTGCTGCATTTGACACTTATACCATAAGGACCTTGCCTAATTCATCTTGGAAACTCATTTCAACCGCAGCTCCGGCGTGACGGACAGGTCAGCCGACTTCGAAGACTGAGACATGGCCTCCCTCATGGCTCATCAGTGCTTGCACCACTGCTGTTTAATGTCTACATCTATGATCTCCCAGTCTTGAAGTCAAGCAAGTATGGTTACACAGACGACCTTGCATTTCTCTCTGGAAGGTCATATGATATACTGTATATCTGTATTATTTTCGTTGTATCTATGTATTCAGTTTTGTATTTCTTTTTAAGTGTTGTATATTATAGATTATGTCTAAGTTGTATATACTAGTGCAGTGCCCGTCTAAAATGTGCATGTTCGGGAAACGCAAATTGCTTTGCCGCTGGTATGGTATAGGTTGCATCATTGCAGAGTTTTGGAGAACTGCTCGTGCAAACAACGCACGCGATTCAATGGTGTTGGTTACACAGGTTGAACGCACACTTACGTCAACATTTTTGCCAAGTTTGAAGTTCGACCTCCTACAATGGTCGCTCAGTCGACGGCAAAAATAATGTGCCCGTGTACATACGAAAACATGGTACGCAGTGCTATTCACCCATTGATCCATTAGTATTCACCCATTCTGGACAATGTATCGCCCTGCAATGCACGTGCGCGTGCCCGTCCTTTTTGCATTGTTTGCGTCATATTGAGCACGCGCGCTTTAGCTAAAACATGACGTAAACAATTGAAAAGAACGGCAGTGCGTGCGGGTGTTATGTGTCTAAGCTATATACTGCCACGTTTGTCTCAGAAAATACTTTTTAAAGCTTTTTCGAGAACCGCTGGTCCAAACAACTTCAAACTTTGCACTGCACATTCTGTTGTCCCGAAAAATATACCCGCCGATTTTCAACTTCATACGGTGCCCGGTTCTGGAGATAATCGACGGACAGACAGACAGACAGAGATTCCTTGAATTATAGTAACTAGTGCAGGGCCAGTCGAAAATGTGCGTGTTCTTAAGGGGCAGTTGAGAAATGCAGCTCGTGCAAACAACGCACATTATTCAATGGTGTGAACGCACACTCGCAAGTTAAACTCACAAAATGTCGTCACCCCCCCCCCGGCACATACAGTGCAGTGATGGTTGCTCAGTTGAGTACAAAATGCATGTGCCCGTGCATGCCACTCACGTATATGTACGTACGAAGACATGGTGTGCAGTGCTATCGCCCTACAATGTGCCCGTCATTTTTGCAGGGCCCGTCAAAAAAAAAGCACCTGTTCGTTAGGGGCAATTTCAAAATGCTCATATCATGCAAACAACGCACACGATTCAATTGTGTTGTTTTCACAGGTTAAACTCACACTCATAGGTTGAGCGCACTTTGTGCATGTCGCCAGGCCATCCCCGGCACTGATATTCACCAATACGCCCGTGCAGATTGTAGAAATCATGTTTGTGTGGTATACATGCCTGGTGGTATATATTGTGGCATTTGATGTTAAGTATTGTACAGAAGTATACGCAAAAAGAAGCAACATAAACTGGGACAAATTCTGGTATAATACTCGTAATATTCAAGGCCTCTGTTTTGTAATGGTATCATTTTAAATATTCATCAACATACGGTCTCATAAATCTTATGCATTTTATACCTTATTATTACCATACTTCGATAAATTTGCTGGTTGCAGTTGATCCCCTGTTGGCAAGAAATCGCCACTCATGTAATGCATACTCATGTTGATTCTCTCCGGTATAAATGAATAATGAAACTTTCGATCGGAATTTTCTAATGTTTCTCTTGTTACCTGAGACAAATTCTAAAGTTCATGAAGGGATGCAGGATCTGCGTTTTGTTTTGTTTTTGTCCATTTCGGTTCGAGATAGGCAAGTGTCGAACCCCTGACCATCTGATTGCGAGACACAATCCCTAACTAGTCAGCTGGCATATGGTAGGAATCGTGACCAACTGGCCAAAAGCACCAAACTTGGCAGATGGCTTCTTAGCCTTAGATAATATATAAAGAAGGAGTGAAACCTAACATTTTTGGGAAGGGTGCCGAATTTGCATAAATCGTAAATGCCTGCCGTGTAATATATTCGTTCCCGTATTTGGGTGTATATAATTATGTATATTTGTTGGTAAAGCATATTTTGGGAATTCTACTGACATATCTCTACTTGAATAATATGTTCTGAATAATATAAGTGACTGGATAATTATTTGCCTTTTCCCAGGTATCATCAAGTAGTCTTGCAAAACCTCAGCATTGATGAGCTTCAAATTCAGCAAGTTGCTTACTGACCAGTCGGTCACCAACTTGTTAAAAATTGGATCCAAGTCATCTGACTAAACCACTATAGGCAACATATGCCATTTCAATTGTTTTATCAATTGATTTCTTCTGTTTTATCAATTTATAAAAAAAAAATACTCCTTGCTTTTAATTACATGGAATTCGCTAATTACATTTCGGTCACCATTGTTGCCTGTTGACTTGTACATCTTCTATTTTAACCCGGCGTACTGAAAATAATCACATCTTGATCTGCACATGCGCCGTTGGAATGCTGAGCTATGGCCTATGCCTGTTTCGTGTCTGTCTTGTAAAAAGTGTTAATCTTTGTCTGATGAACACAAGACTACAGATTAAAGTGTCCATGACATTATTTTTTCTTAGGAACACATTTTGTGCAACTTTCTACTCCTCTTAAATGTATCAAACTATTTGATATCCCTTTTTGTTTAAGTTTTATTCGAAAGTGCACTTCTTTAAACATTTACAAATCGTCCATGCTTTTCCGGACAACTGAGGGCGCTGTTGCTGTGATGTCATTTCAGGAAGACACTGTTCAGTTTGGTTTTCTGTTTAAATGTGAATCGTAACGTCTGCTCATTGACAACATTTTGTGAGAAAGGTTTACTCATTGGCTAACTGGCATGTACTGACACAAAAACGAATCACCAAGAAAATAAAATGTGCAACTGTCACAGCAAAGTATCCAAATTTCTGTTACCTTTTTTGGTGCTGAAATATAGGAGGTTTCTGCCTGAAACGACGTCACACCTTTGTTCATGAATATGACAATTCGCATGAGCATAAAAACAAAAAAAAATAACCACCGAAATACCCTTAAAAATGGGGAAACGAAAATTTAAAATAAGGTTAAATTGGACACAAAGATGCATTGTCAAGGATTGCATTAAAAATAAAATTACATTGCATGGGCCCTTTAAATATCTGAAACCTAAACTATAATTGGAACATGTTATATCGTTGTGGATTTTGATTGCCTCTTCCATCCAGGTTTATATTAAAAAACAAAAATGCTTACAAAAGTCTTGCACAGCAAATAATCATTCAATTATAAATACAGTTGGAACCAGATGTTGTAATGAGTTGCCCCAATTATGCCATTTATAATTACAATGCAAATTATAATGTTCGAAGCCCCTCTAAAATGCAAAGATGGGATTATACCGTCCGGATTGAAGTAGAGTACATATTAAATACACTTCTCCTTTAGGCCAAAAAAAAAAGTCTCCGGTTTCTGGTATGGAGCTTGCCCAAAAAGTGGTGCGGCGACGCGGCTTTTTTTTTTTTTTAACCTGATTTTTTTGCTTCAAATGTCGGCTGATGACTGCAAATGGTGCCCGACTAAACTTAGTGCAAATATATGGGAGTCCAGAGAGGCCACATAAAGATTATTCTCGACCATAACCCAATCTAAAAACACGTTAAAATTGTGCAGCAGCAGGATTCCAGTCAAACCAGTGAGTTTGGCGGTTTGGAGACATCATCTTTCATTGAAAAAAAAAAACTTTTTCATTTTGCCGACGCGCATGGCTACGGCGACGCGCGCGCATACCAGAAACCGGAGACTTTTTTGTTTTGGCCTTAGGTGGTTATACGTGTAGTTGGTTTGGCCCTTCGACCATCAGTCTGACATATCTTTCGGAGTCGTCGTGACTGTTGACATCATGTTGAAGTACGCACTTCTGCTAGTGTTGGGCCTCCTTGTTAATGAAGCCCAGTGCAACTTTGCCGTCGGAAATATTGCCGAATCCAAGAATTTGGTAAGATTCTATAATCAATCTGATTGTAAGCATGCTAATTATTCGACCTAACTTCAACAGTAGGCCGTCTGTAAGCAGAAACTGTCATCGGGCATTGTGAAATAGGCCTACTTGAGTAACAACTGCTGAAACCTCCAAATTATGATTCCGTGATGAAGTAGGCTTATGCAAGGTGTCTTAAAAATACATCGCAAAAGTTGAAACATATGTGGAGAGTATAGTTCATTAGCTTTTCAAAAACCAAAAATTATTTTAATCGGGTACATATTTATGTACAGTTGTACTTTTTAGTGCGTGAGAACGAAAGTGATAACGACGCGAAGATTTACCTACCTACATCCGATGGATTCTACATTTACTCGGGCTTGCTTGAATACTGTTCTTATAAACCGTCATTTTAGATTTTTTTTTGTAAATGAGAATTTGTCATTACAAGTTTATTACAAAAAGTGTGTGACCCAAAAGACATTTTAGTCTCCTATTTAAGTTGCAGTTTTTACCCAATGACCGACACAAATTTAGTTCATAAAGTTTCATCTTTGTACGAGTGCTCCGAGTTCCACTAGTCCACATGTATTTAAGACGTCGTGTGATTTTTCAGTTTTCATACATTAAGATGCTAGTAACAATTTTACAAAGGCCATTTTCCGAGGGTGATTTTCTGAAGCAATCAATGTACCACAATAATTTTAAAAACTCCCAACTTTTACACGCTAATTTCAAATCTGACACCACGTAACATCAACACTGATGGGTTAGGTACACTTACTACATGTACCTGTCTCGAGTGTTCGAATAATGTTGTTCGAGTGACGTAATTTACTAAACTTTGATTGGTCAATGCATGCTGGTACACAAAATAATACATCACCCGACCTAAAGCATATCGTCAGTGACACCATGAAGTAAGTAACACCCAAGTGGACTTGAGTTCGCGCTACGCGCGCGTATTTAACAGAACCGAGAGATTTCGTTTTCACGAAGTAACACTCATGTACACTGTGCGCTGAATCTGTCAATTTCGTTTTCACGAAGTAATACTCATTTATATTACACCAGTTAGGCCAAAAAAAAATAAGTCGGTCTCTGGTCAGCGCGCGCGTCGATTTTAATCATGCGCGTCGATCTTTTTTTTTTCCAAAATGTTCCGCGGTAGCTCCAACAGCGCCCTCTATTTCCGCACCTCCTCAATTTTTTTTTACCAAAGAGCACCAAGGAATGGGACATTGCACCAAGGCAAATGATCGAAAGCACCAAGGCAAATTATGGAGGACACCAATGTATATGAGGACACCAAAAAAGCAAAATAGTACCCACCTTGTCTGTACAATCCAAGCTTGAAGAAAAAAAAAAAAAAAAAAAAACCGCGTTGCCGCGTCAATTCCGGAACTTTGGTCTGACCAGAGACCGAATATTTTTTTTTTTTTGGCCTGAGAAAGCTTTTCATGAAAAAAAAAATCTGTAATCATACAAAGAATACGGATTCATTACAATCCTGTCAAACGTTAGGGTTTTTATCCAAACAGTATTTCCGTTACAGTGTTGTAACTTTGTAAAAACGAAAATCGTTAGCGCCAGAGTGTCTGATGTGCATGCGCGCGCACACTTGAGTGTTACTTCGTGAAGCCAACATTTGTCATTAAGTGGTTTCACGAAGTAGCACTGAATTGGACTTGTGTGTTACGTCGTGGTGTCGCTGACGATATACTGTCAAAAAATATCCAATAAATATAAGACTATAAATTGATTTATTTTGTTTTGTTTTATTGCTTGCAGGGGTTCTCAGCTGTGAATGTGTCTTGCGGTGATCACTCTTGCGTAGCATGTTTTGTCACCAGTTTCTTCAAATTGCCTGTTGCCTGTGAGTGCATGCTCAAACTTAAAATTAAAGAAGAAAAAAGGAACATAAATAGAGCTAAAATTCTAGATAAACATAGAATATTTTTGTTAGTAGGGCTGCAGGAAAGCAGGTTTATACCGACCGAGTCTATACAGGGTGGTCCCAAAAACAGTTTACACTTTTTCAGAGGCAGATTTCTCAAAATTGAAGAGGCATGTAAGAATAAATTATCGTTTAGGATATTCCTAAACTACAAGATCTTGAAATGCTTGATAAAGATTGATTTACGCCGGACCTCAAAATTGTTTGCAAATCTGGGCAGGATACAAAATGTACAATACAATTCAATTCAATTTAATTCAATTCAATTCAATAATCAATGTCAATTGACTATATCAACTGTTAATTCCAAATGATGTCGTTTGTTATGTAAAACAACATAATGATATAGTAGGCCTATAGTATAAACGTTATATGGTATACTCGTTATATGGTATACTTTCAATTATTTGCAACACGCGTACAATAGCGCATTTCTTAGTCCCTTACGTTATTCAGTGATGAGCCTAGTTGCTAGTTTGTTTGTTGACGAACCTGTTCTGTTCGTTATTTTGTTTTGCAGATACCTTCGAATATTCACTTAACCCGTACAGGGTCGAATTCACCGCGGATGGCGGGGACTACTTTTGGAGGTTTGATTTCACGCAAGGTAAACAAAAATTGCAATATGTAATTAGCTGCGTTGTTTATGTCTTTAATACTGAAAGGGACATTACGGCCTGAAATCCCCGAAAATTGTATGTTTCAGATTATTTACACATATTCTAAATGCTAATTTAAAGTTCTGGTTGAGAGTCACTAACCTAACGGCTAACCGTTCTCGAGAAAAGACAACAATTTTCTGTTGCTTAAGCAGCGGACATTTTGTGACATAACGCACACGTATTTCCAAGTGCACACAACACCAATACATATAAACTGTTGTTTCTCGCACGTCCGCACAATACACCAGTGCACTGGTAGAACCTGCGGCAGGATTCACGACAAGCTCGACTCTTGAGAGTCGAAATGTGGATCCACGAAATTCGTTCTTGCAAGAGTTACACAAAACGCCTGGTTTTTAGATGACGGTTGTGTCGACATGATCCTATTTTTAACATACTTCTTCCAATTAACACAATTTTGTTTAAAACGCGTGTTGTAGCCAATGATGCGCGTTCCAGGACTTACTGTGCCTTTCATAATGGATGTGTGTTAAACTAAGAGCCAAAGCGTGAAGGGGGAAATTGGAGTAAAACAAAATCGGGGAAAAATTGACATTATTTTGAGGCAAACCTCGATCCGCCCCTAGATTAAGTTTAATAAAATGTTAATAAGTTGAGTCACACAACAGTTGTTTTTGTTCCAGTTAATTAAGATTGATTCTAACTCCCGCCGCCCCCCGCCTTAAAAGATATAGGGATCGGTAGCTAGCTAGCATTGAAAGCTATTGATTGGATCACCTCTGCGCGTGCTCAGCATGATTGTTTATTTTTGAAACGATATTCACAGCTTTTTCGCATGGATGAACACATGATTATCAAAATATCGATACCACAACCAGTAGGCAAAATCGCCAGTGTCTCCACGAAGGAAACTCATATTATCCATATTGATAATTGCCAGAGACACTTTCGAATTCAGCGAAAATCGAAGCTCATCACCACAGAAATTGCACATTATAGTAGCCGGTTGCCATTTTGAAATAGGCTGGTTCCGTGCAAACATTATCGTTGTGATTTCAAATTCAGGGGGCGGGAATCAGACCTGTGCAAGTCCTGCATATAATTTGAATACATTAGGAAAAGAGCCTCCTAAAACATTCATTATACACTGCTCGCTACCTGTCCTTACATTTGAGTCCTAAGGACAATGGAGGGGGACGGGGACCAGTAGGCCTACTGTTAATCTTATCGGCGCCATGTTATCGTTCTGCAGGAGATCCAAGCCAGTCGTTCCGCCACTGCGCAGAGATCCTGACTCGAATAGGCAGTTATGACGGTGACCCAAATGGCGTTGCAGTCGACTGGAGAGGCGACCTGTGCTTCGACAACGACATGTCGGGCATCACCGTGCCCCCAGACTGCCCCAATCCGCTCCTCGTGGTCACCACAGAGGGTCACTTGCAAGACGAACGCGTGCGCGGCCTGCAGGCGCTCTTCTGCAAGCCCGCTTAAAAAAAAAAGGACAACATTAGGCCCTTTGTGGCAGTAGACTGGTATCATTATACGCTAGTTGAACCCGTGACCGCAAAACTATATTAAAGAGACCAGTTTTCATAGAAGTCCAAATTTCATATGACACCAGTATATCAATGTCTTATGGGCTTCCGTTAACTAAAAAAACCCCATGTATTAGCGCACTCGACATTCACTTGCTGAACTTTTCTCCTGTGATGGTAAGATGGTGGCCGCTAATCTTTTTTCCACAATATTGCGAAGGAAGCGAAATGCATTGTGGGTAGCGTAGCACCGTGTGCACGCGATTTTTGACCCTGGTCACCTGAAAATCTGTCCAATGAGAGTTAAAAAAAAAAAAAAAAAAAAAACACCTTTGTTAGTATGTTGGGAACGAGCAAAAGTGGATACAAGAAATTAAATTGGTAATAACTTAGCAGGATCGACATCAGGCCAACTAATGCAAAACTGAAGGGTTTCCTTGTTTCTGCCCGAAAATTTACTAGAGATTCTTTACAATTAACACCATTTACACGGGATAGTACCAGTGTTTGCGAATATCTCATGGGGAAAACAAGAATGTATGGCAAGGATTTGACAACGGACTAGAAATTGTAAATAAGAATGGTGGCGGGATAATTTTAACAGCAAGAAAATAATGTTTGGCATTATCGTTATACATTGTATATGTTTCGGGATCTGGGCCAAGAAAAGCCATGCGCATCAACTTTGACTCCTTTACATTTTGATAATAACCATAACACATGAAGCACTGCTTAACAGTACATGTTATGGTACAGTTTTTTTTCCATTGTTTTAAAATGTAATAGTTCAAACAAAAATACGAATTGTTATTATAAAGGTGTCATTGAGAGTCCCTTGAATTCACTTGTTAAATTGGCAAACGGCGTACAGGGCAACACATTGCCAGGTGTTGCTGTACTCTCCATCGTTCCCAGTTAAGCTTTCAACGGGAGATATTTCGAATGTGTACATGCAATAAAACAACACCGGTACCGCTCTTCAAAAGATTGAAGATCTCTGAATGTGTGCCGCTAAGAACAACGCCTTAAACCAACGGCTAATAAAGCCTCTGTATTGATGACGTCACACTTTGTTTACCCGTGTGCTTTCCTATTGGTACTTGGTTGGTTCTTCTCCTGTAGGACTTCCACAAGGGAGTATAACTCGGAGGCCAGAAACACCGGGCAAACCCCTTCTCTGAGCGATTAGTGTTACTGGGTTCTTTTACGTGCATTGCATAACACACGGGACCTCCGGCTTTACGTCCCATCCGAAGGACGAAGCAATAATGGTTAAGTGCCTTGCTTAAGGGCACAAGTGTTCGGGCCCGGGCTCGAACCCACGCCACTGTTTTCCTCTAAAACACCAGAGCATGAGTCCGGTGCTCTTCCTATGTGAGCATTGTAGGGACGACAGTTTCGTAGGCCCCATAGAAAAGCGCACACGTAAATAAGTGTGACGTCATCAATATAGAGGCCTATTAAAACACAGAAACAGGAGTGGCACAATAGGCTTGCCCCTGGGCGCAGGCACCATAACTACACAGGTTGGACTCGAACCCACAATCTGCAGAAATACTCAACTTCGCAACTTCAACGCATCACTTAACGTTGTCAGATTAATGGTCTATAAGAGCGAAATCACGAGGGGAAAACCCATCAATCTCAATTTTCTATTGAAAAAAAAATATATAGAGTCAATAATATTTAAAGCGCATTAGTCCTCGGCTGTGCAAGCAGTGCAATGCATAAAGTTTTTTGTATCCACTTGCACATATGTATATATTTTTAGGCGCCATACAGATCTAGGCCAGTGTTCACAATACGCCATGTCAATCCAGTTGCCATTATCTCCAGGATCACAAGTTGTTATATGTGGGCACAGTACAAACTCTAGTCTTAATCAGGGCAGGATGCAGGTGTTTTTATTTGCAGCACACATCGTCAATGATGATAATTATTCAGCTGGTTCGATGTTTATTCATTAGAAAATAACAATGACGTCACACCATTGCTATCAATCAGTCACGCATGACACATTAAAGCATTTCAAAGAATGGCTTTCATCGAGCTGCCACAGTGGCCTAGTGGATAGTGGAATGAACAATGGATCGCAAGATCTGTGGTTCGAGCCCTTGCACATTTTTATCAAGTGTTTTTGTTGATTGGGATAAGTTTAATTGCAGGGAAAACACTAAGAGAATCTAAGTGTTAAAGAAGGATAAATATTCATGTTGGGGTGCGTAGTGTGAATGGTTAAAATACGATGAATGCTGCATGCAGAATAAAAATACGCGGGCGGGATTAGATGTAGATGTACATGTACATGTACATGTACGTACATCACTGGGAGCTCCTAGCTGATGTTACTTCCATTTTAGCGTCCAGAGAAGCTGATCGCAGAGGGCGCTATCGACACGATCCACGCACTCACTCAAGATAATATACATTGTTGGCCACAATGTGAAATCTAGCCTTGATTCAAGGAGGAATTTGTAATAAGCCGACATGTGCATGTAACCGTGGAACTACATGAACTCGTCTGGTGCACATTAGTGTCCAGGAAAGCTATTCACAGAGGGCGCTATCAACACGGTCCATGCACTCACTCAAGATAAACACATTGTTGGCCCGACCTTAATTGCACAAGGGGTGTGCATAAGGTCACTAATGAAGCCATAAACAAGTCCCGCCTTGAACTAAGTCAACGATGAACCGTGGGGTTCTGCAATAAGGAACACACCCTTCTCCCTAAAAGAAACAAGTTTGTTTTTTACATAATAATAACCAACTTATAATTTATTTGTTGTTCAAACGAGAATGCGTTTTTTTTCTCGAACACATTGTGCTGACGTTTGTTTCCAGTAATTCACAATAGACTTCAAGGCAAGGCTACGTACGTCTGCGTTGCGACGAAGCCTTATTGCGCACGATAAGCAAATTATGCAACTGGAGCCCAGTATGACGTCGCAGACAGATTTTGAGTTAGACACATTTTTATAGAACTAATGAGGGAAAGTAGGGGACTCTTCCAAATGCATTATTTTACATACACTCCTCCTTGTTGTTTTCGAACTACATGAAAAGTTTGATAACATATGTTTATGTTTTGCCTTTCACTGACATAATCATTGATTTAAGGCCAAAAAAATAGTTCTGCTTCCGATAACATGGCATTCGATTATAGGGTAGGTATGTAGGGAACTTTTTTTGCCATTTTTTTTGTATACGGTCATATGGAGACGTACATGTACGTCTGCGTGTGGTCAAGGGTAAAATGTAGAAAATGATGGTTTTGGATGTTATTTTCAATTATTCCCATAAAAAAAATAGGGCAGGGGCTGTCAGAATAGGGTAGGTAGGAGAATCGGAAGCAGAAATAGTTTTTGTTTGGCCTATATAGACGCAGTAGATACAGTTTTGTCACGGCGCTGGCGTGAAACAGTTAAAAAGTTTGCCCTGCCTGGCTAGTGTGACTTTTTGTCCCACACAATTCTCTGATGACAGCGCTAAGACTTAAGTATACCAGTGTGTTTTTTTGTGTGTACATTCTTGGCAAATGCTTTCGCAGTTTAACATGCACCGCGTTATGTCAATCCTCGTCAGTTACTCTTAATCACGCTGGCAAACAGTAAATCCAATAATATTAGTAGCTAAATCTCCCAAATGCAAAATATTCATGTATCATAAAGATATTTTTGGGATTTCAATATTTTTATTTTCCATTCAGTAATAAAATGCTGTTATAGTTAGGTATATACTCGGTAAGACAATCAGTATGTCGATTACAATGCCTGGAATGCGCTCGCACCAGACGGACGAGTATCTCGGCCACCCGAATAAATTCCACTGCGTATATTATTGATCTTTCGAGAATCTGGCAGCTTTACTTTTTCACGTTAACAAAAGGAATCTTTTGGGCCCGTTTTCATCGGACAATCTCGCGTTTTGAACACGACCAGTCATTCATAACAAATCTGTTGAGGGCCACAGAGATCGATAGTTTTGTATTCGGGGCTCGATCTGTGTCACACAAGTACATCCCTTCCCAGTTTTGAGGATGCGGGAATTGACTTGTGCATGGCGAGCTAAATCGATTTATTATTTTCTTGAGCTGTCGCTGTCGATACGCCAGAAAGCTAGTGATTTTTCTATTGAACGTCAGGGCTAGTATTATCGGAATATGCAGTCTCGTATGAACGTACAGTATAAACACGTCGATTTCATTCTAAATTGATTTGTATTTGCTCTGAATGGATCCTCAATTGCTCATCGCTATTTATAACTATGATAGATGACATTGCTGTCAATTTGGTATCAGCAATGTCTTCGAAAAATAGTGGGCGTATGGCTTCAACACATATCCGACCACATGCGATTGTATAGGCGTAAATCGACCGTGACAATGACAGAATTCAGTTGTCTGAGGCTAAATAGTGCATCAGCACGGATACAGGCAACAAACTACCGGAGGCCAGTGGCCTGTATCCACAATAGCGTGAGATCCCAGTGCAACACGCAGTAGCCCGCTTCGCGGCTTTCGCCATTCCAACACATGTAAATTCCCTTACCCGTATACAGCCCTGCACGCTGCATTATACCGGCGCTTTGAATGAACACAATTACCGCAGTGTTACCGCGCACAATGGCACCGGAATACAGAGCGAAGGGACCCAGTACCAGTGGATCTATGGCAAGGTGAAATCAAAAGGAAATATACCATCGGCCAGCAATCTTACCCCGTGATTAAAAGGAGAGGGGGAAAAAAGATGGCGACAGTGAATCCGATCAGCCAGGAGGAGAGGTTTTTGACGGCTGTACGGGACGGGGATGTTAGTTATGTGGAGCAAGTGCTGGAGTCCAAGCACGAGACGGGCCTGGAAATCAACCTGAGCGACCGCAACGGCAAATCGGCGCTCACGCTGGCCGTGCTGCAGGGAAACCTTCGTGAGTACATGTCAAGTGACAAACTTGTTTTCAGTCGAAAGTGGCAACAAAAGTAAACGAAAGCTGGGAAAGATTTCCATATCTGGCCACCACTTGTCACCCTGTGCACAAACCGTATGAGACTGGTCTGAAAATTTCTACGTGTTTTCTCAGTAAATACATCAATATTTCCCCTGTGCTAAAGTTGACTTTTTAGGACATAATATCACATGCTGATGACTGATATGTCACTGAAGGGGAAATGAGTGATGGCCAAAAATGGGATATTTTTTCCGAAACGTACAATGTATCGTATTCACACATTATATACCAGTTTCAACGCATGCCCGGCTTTCTGATCAAAATGTCAACATTTGAATTTGTAGGGTAGCGGGCTAATTGAGATCAACCGCTTCGGCGTACTGGCTTAATATAAACCTTCAAATTTACAAGTTTTTTAAGTAGCAACGACTACTTCCTCAGAATGATTGATGTTCATAAAGTTGGCGTTGGTTAATTAGTCTTTTAAAATGCTTCATTTCCGTTGTACCTGTACCAGTGAAAATGGTTCCATCTAAAATTATGCCAGTTATATCTTTCTGTCATGTTTATTAACTTATCAAAGGATTGAAAGGAACCAGTTATAACTGATAACCCAGAAGTTGCTGTTTTTGTTCTTATTTTTTAAGAAACTTTATAATGGGATATAGAGTAAGTAAGTTTGTTTTGTACGGACTAGACAAAGTATTAAATCATTTGTGTAAAACGTTATAATAAAATGCGTTTCAGAAACATTCACCAAATATCAGTTGAATACAAAAGTTATCGTTTACATTGGTGTACATGTATACTCGCAATATACAATCTAGTTTTTTTTTTTGGGGGGGGGGGGGTTGCCTTATGGCTACCAGGCTATACAATGACGTCTTAAGAAAACCTGGTGACTATATTCGAACAAAACCCATGAAGTAGTTTCAATAGGAATTGAATCACTGAGTGGGCGTGGACTAAACAAAGAGGAGGTGGAGTTTCAGGGACCAACTGTTATCCCTTTACTTGCTGAATATTTGAAAATATTTACTTCTAATTTTTGATACTCAAAAGGGAAAGAATTCCATACCTGGACATATCACTCAACACCCTGTGCACAAATCATGGTCTGAACAATTCTGAGTGTGTTCTCAGTAAACGTCATTAGGCCTATGTTGGTCTTTTCATGACATGTTACCACTTTCTGATGGCTGATACTGTCACTGCAGGGAAAATATTAGCGATGTCCCTGTATCATATGTATGTCATCCCACCAAAGATTAGGGGAGGATATCTGTACATGGGGGGGGGGGGATATCTGTTCTTGCATAACCCGGTTTGGGTGAAATATTTGAAAAGGTTTTTGTACGAAAGTTGTGACTTTCTGTGCCATGTTGTATGTTCGTGATTGTCAATGTAACATATTTCCCGAATATATATACTCCAATTTTAATATGACTTTGCACACCCTTAGGGAGTTAGGGTTTGGTTGAGAATGAAATGGCTGGAGGTGGTTCTGGAGTTGGTTGGCCATCTCGAGGCCAAGTCCATCCTTGAAAACCACGATGTAATGCATAATGGATGAGGAGGCAGCAGATTAAGTAGCAGAAATCACATATCAGTTCTGAATGTTCCCAGTTTTCTAAAACGAATGAAGAAAGCTGAAAACGTGATGACCTCAAACGGACTCAGCACAGTCGCTCTGTACGCGTGACTAGTACAAGGAATTTGAATAACAAATGCAAAACAACAATTATTGTATTAAATCTCTTTCAAGGTGCCAAGGTAATGAGATGACCTTTTAAACCATGACACATGTTCATAGTCGATCTCCCGCGTCAGAAGACATTAAGTCACATCAAGGTTTTGTTTTTTCCCCAATATTAGGCTGATCGAGCGTTAGTTGTGTTTAAGTTTTGTTGTTGTTGATGTTGTCGCAGTTGCTGTTACGTTGCTTTTGACATATTGTTGCAGTTGTTGTTTTGTTGCTGTTTTCATTAACACGGTTCTTGTTGTTCTGTAGGTATTCTTTTTGTTGCTTATATTTTCTATGTGTAGTTTGACGTTGTTTTTGACATCTGTTTTTTTTTTTGCCGTTATCGTCGTTGTGTTTGTTGCTGCTGCAGCCGTTGGTGTTGTTTCTGTTATTGTTTTGTTGTTGCGTTTGCTGTTGCGGTTGTCATATGTTGCTGTTATAATACGGCGGCGTTGATAAGTGATGTATACACTTGCATGGTACATGTACATGTACATGTATGACAGTTGTAGCTGTTTAATCCTGCGGCTCTAAGTTTTTGTTTGACACTGATTTATCAGTACATGACATTCTTATACTCGAGCCTATATAATACTGTCTAATTATCAAGGAAGGGAAACTAGGGACTAGACGATTTAGAGTTAAGATCACTCCAATTTAAGATCGAAATAAACGTACCGTGAAAGAGAATCAATCGAGTGGAAACTCAATATATACTCAATCGAGTGAAGTTCACTCTGCATGCAAAATGTCGGCTCGCAAGTTTCAGTATGTACGATTGAATTGCCACCCATTGCAAATAGGTGCCATTGACACATGAACGAATACAAGCAAGTAGGCCTACAACTTATGTTTCGTTTATACGTTTGAACCTACAATTCACTACTTTACTGGATGGAGCTAAAATATAGCGGTATCTATAACCAAAATGAATTGACTTGTTCCTGAGAAACCCTAGCCAATATAAAAATAACGACCTTGCAAGCATGGAAATTGGATTGGTACTTATATCAAGGCTTCCAGTAATGGACAACTGGAAAAATGACGAGAGTTCAAGTGTGTACCCTTCTTTTGTTGAGAGTAGTGAATTAATAACCCAACACACTGTTGGCGCTGAATGGCGTGCTTGTCGGTCGCTGCGCACGTGCCCGTAATTACGTGCTTGTTACGGCAAAGTGCTACGGTATTTACAGGTGAATAGTGCTGGGTGGAGCAAGATGAACGGTGGGTCCAGAAAAAAAATGCCCCACAACACACACCTCAGTTTGGACACTCATCGAAGTTGAGCAACGTTGATTTGTGGTTGGGAGGCATAATTATGTACCGCTTGCTGAACTTTAAGAGCGTTGTGTTGTCCCGTACATAATAAAGGAAAGTTTAATGTGATGGAGTTTCGCAGTATGAAAAGGTGCAATAAAGAATAGGTTTAGGCAGTTGTCCCATAGAAAAACAATCTCGCTTTTCTTCTTTCTTGCACAAATTCCCTTTGTTAATGCCGGATGAAACTGACAAAACCTAACTCGTGGTCGAGCGTTGAAAAGGTTACTCACATCACAGCAGGACCTCAGTGTGGATCGCCCCTGTCGTGCAGAAATCGCAATATGTATATATTTAATATTCAGTCATGAATATTTAAATTAGCCGACACGACCTGTTGGGGGGGGGGGGGGTCTGCTCGATGGTTGATTGAAGTAAGAATTAACATAACAGGCCCGTACACTTTAACAATTTTGCCAAATTGGCACAGGTATACTGAAGGCCTACTCTTGAGCATTGTGACAAATAAAAAAAGTAGCGTGACGTCGATTGCGAAAAAAAGAGGGTAATGCAATCACTAATAACAGGCCCGTGACAACATACCGGTATGTCTCTGTACGACCAAGAAATCCCTGAATATTATTAGGTCTTATCAAGCGGAATTTGTGGTTATGTCATGCTTTCGTTGAAGAAACAGCCTACACTACACTGGTTCGATCTATTCTGGAATAGGTGATTCATTTTCCTGGAACCCTCATCTAAAATCAGACATTCACCAACTGGAACGAGCCCACGGGCAGGCAGTTCTACATGTAATTGTCAACAACTGTAGCACGTCACCAGGAACAGTTTCATCACTATACTCCAGAGCCATGGATGGCTTGCCCATGATCAACGAAGGAAAATAAGAAGATTAATTAATTAATTAACTTATAACTATCACCAACTGTCAAAAAACCTAACCTCTACCACTCTCAATAGCTTGCGTACAGGCTGGTCACCAACTACCAGAAACCCAATTGGATTAAACCGTATAACTGTCAAAGCCTGTTGAACTGGCTTGATAGATAATAATCGGGTGACCAATAGTAGTGGTACGGGTTGTGTAGCAGCCTTTTTAAATGGTGATGCCTTTGCTTGGCTTGAATGCATGGTGAACCTTTTGGGCCTTCATTCTGAGCTAAATTCATCATTAACAGGCACTCACCAGTGCTGACCCGCCACATTTGTCAATGTCAGTCGAGACATTGGTACCACGTACAGCCTGTCAGTTGTAGCAATATGAAGCCAGTATACAGACCTGTTAAAACCTATCACCTGATAGATTTTGACGTAACTATCTACAGATTGTCACTGAGAGAGGATGGCTAACTATGCTCAACAAAGTACTGAACAATACAGTGATGATGTACATAAATGATATTTGCAATGATGATCGACGGTTCTTTCTTTTATCCTCTTTGCCGACGACACCAATATATTCTACTCATGTAATAACACAAATGTATAAACTATTGTAAATGTTCTTAATGTTGAATTAAACAACTATCGGTTTGGCTCCAGGCTAACAGATTGTCACTTAATGTGAAAAAATGTACATTTATGGTTTTTCGAAATAGTAAAAAGAAGTTGAATATATCTAATTGTCAAGTTAAAATTAATAACGACCATATATACTGCGAGTGTCAAACACCAAATTTATTGGGGTCTGCAATGTATATTGATGAATGTCTCTCATTGAAATTCCACATAAATGAATTAGAAAACAACATTTCTAAACAATATTGGTTTCATGAGCAGATTGAAGCACATTCTTCCGTCGAGCATTCTGTTCATTAGTTCTCTCACAGCTCTCTTTTTTGTTACATTAATTGGGCGAACACTTACAAGTCAAATCTTGAGGTAAATTGATTAAACTATAGAAAAGGGCAATTCCTATTGTATGTAAGGTGCACTTTAATGAGCATATATCACTCCTTTATTTAGGAAACACAAGCTTTTGTCTCTTACTAGTAATATTAAAGGGAATATACATCATTGGCTTTTGCTGTAATTTTCAGAAATGAACTATTTGAGGGGTTAGTATAATAGATTAAATATTGTTACACTGACATGTTTGAATTTTTGTGTTCGAAAATTCTGGAAAAACCAAGACAAACAAAAATGTTCAAGTAGTCTGGCTCCCTGACTCCACTAAATATAAAATGGATCAATTTACAGATGCCAGAAAATTGTAAGGTAAGGGAACCAGTCTAGCTGGCCTGCACCCGTTATGAACATGTAACCAATAGCAAACACAATTTGGACTGAAAAAAAATTGGTAAATTTGGAGCAGTAGTTGAAAAATAGTTAGGTTTTTCCAACGGTGGTCGGCCGACCACCGTTGGAATTTTTTACAAAAATACCATTTTCTTGAAAATGACTTCACACCAGGTGCCATAATTTTACAGGATGCTTTAGACTGTCATTTACCAACATCCTAGTAAGGTATTTCGTAAAATCTTGGTAGTTTTATTTTTCAATGTTTGCAAATGTTGTATATTCTCTTTAATGTCTTTCAACAAGATGTTTTTATGTATACATATGTAAACAACTAACTTCCTGAATCATTACACAACCTTATTCAATTTAATAGACCCATGCACGATTATAATACTAGGTCCTCATCCAAATTACATATACCTCAAGTCAGAACAACTCTTTCTCAACATACCATCTCTTTCTCTGGACCAAAACACTGGAACTATCTTTCACCGTCTTTAACCAATTGCCCTTCAAGTGATACACTGTAAAAACAGTGTTTAGCATTTAAACACATCAGAAACGTGTTTATAGTTTAATACGTTTAGGAATGTGTTTCAATTCTTAACGTTTACCACTTTTTAATGTTGTGAAACTAAACGTGTTTACGTTTTGGACATGTGCTTAGGATTGTATATCTAAATTCGCTTAGGAAGGTGTTTAAATGCTAAACATATTATTCATTGTACATGCCAAACGGATAATGCGTGTCACAGAAAAAGGACATCTAAACATGTCATGGTGCTGAACGTGTGGAAAAAGTGGGTACAGAATTAGTGTTTAGAAATGTGTTTAAATCCTAAACACCATTTTTACAGTATACATTCAAATATGAACTGAAAAAACATTCCTACTTAATTCTCAGAATACCTGATTCATTATTAAGTCGGCATAGCCGTTATTGATATGGTTTTTTTTTGTCGTGTCTACTTTGTTTAACCGTTATATATTTGACAATTGTTATTATTTCAAATTCTATAATTAGTGTTGTTTGTCTTGTTTTGTCTGGTATTGTTGGGCACATCCACCACTAGCTTCGGCTTTTTAGGATGCTGCCTCCACAGAGTGGAATTTTTTTAATTTTATTGAATTGAATTGAACATTGATGTACGTGTGTATACCAGCCTCTGTTACTGGAAATACTCGATCATTCCTGGGTCATAAAAACACAAACCGAATCAAGTGTATATGCTAGAACCTTCAACAGTAGTTTCTTCCTTGGGGCAACCAAGGGCTGCAACAATCTCCGACCTGGTATCATTGAATCTTGGAAAGCATTACATTCAACATTTAGAGTTGAATCTTTCAAAATGTTTAGTGGCTCCAAATATAAATTTGTCTCTGTGGTTGAAAATACGTCCAGCTCCAAGCCCAAAACTAACAAAAGAAGTTGGTGTGATGTTTCAGAGTAAATGTCTTTCCAACTCCACTAATTCAGATTCGAATAATTGAATTCATGTAATGGCTTATTTAAAACAAAATGAGGTTAAATCGTAATGTGGGAAAACCCGATACCGTTTACTTACCTCAACCTTTTAATGATTAAACATGCATTTATTTTAATGTTGTTTTCATTTTACATTAATTCCGTGAATATTCGTCATCAATCACAATTGCAATCAATTTGAAACAAAGATGGCGTACATGTAGGTGATGTATGTTGTGAAAAGGGCTGCGGTTGGGATTGGAATCATTTGCCTGGCTCTCAGGCAGCATAACAAGACCTCATTATAATGCTCAATGGCAAATTATTCCAATCCCTAACAACATCCTCAGCCTTTTTTGCACACACACATTCAGGATTTTACACAACTTACATAACTCGGCACTGAACTTGATAAAGGCAAGGAACTTGGTCACAGAGTGTCCAAAAATGCTGTTGTGTTCAATGGACCCTTGTGCATTGAGGCGTGGTGGAAATAACATGAATCCTATTGCGATGGAAATAAAATGAAACTCATAGGGGTTGAGGCTAAGAACAAGGAGTATCTGCACAATCATTTTTTTTTCTAAATCGACTTCGTGGTTTTGTAGTTATTTCAAAACTAGTTGGACGGACACTTTTTTGGGACATACTGCAGTGGGTTTGGTAAAAGAACAAGGCAAAATGGTGATATCACCAGCAAGTTTTTTCCCCCAAGCCACGTACGTTCGCCGTACCTGCACCATTTCTAATGGTCCCTATTAATTATTGTAACCTCATGCCGGAGGCGGGAACGAAGTCACGTACATGGTGTATTTAGTTTCCTATATTTTTTTCCCCTTTAGTTCACTGCTACCAGACTTTTATTTAATCTTACACCTTGAACCGGATGAAACGAGTATGTGTTTTGTCTCAACCATTTTAAAGGAACCTTCTTATTTTATTTTCTCTTCCCTCCAGTTATTATCAAATTGCTCCTGACCCACGGTGCGCGACTAGGAGACGCCCTCTTGCGGGCGGTGGATACCCAGTTCTTAGACGCTGTGCAGCTGATATGCAAACACTCGGAATCGCTTGAGGTGAGGATGAGGGCTGATCCGAATCCGGAGGGGGATACAATTATGAAAGTAATACTAGGTGCAATGGGAATGTCAGCACCGCTCGGTTGCTTTGTTCGATATGCATTGCTCTCATCCATGTTTATTAGCTATGATTTGCAAATGTGCTGTGGTCCAATGGTTACGGTGTTCGACTCGTGTGCCGTGGTACATGGGTTCGAATCCTGACCGTTGGAGCATGGTGCTTGTGCTCTTGAGCAAGGCACTTTACCATTATTCGTAAAGGGACGTAAAGCCGTAGGTCCCGTGTGTGTTGTTAACATGCACGTTAAAGAACACAGTAACACTTATCGCTAAGAGAATGGGTTTCTGGCAGTGGCTGCAATATGCTCCGCAGCACCTTGTAAACCCTTATAAGGCGCTACATAATGGGTCTCATATGTCTCATAAACACCTGTCTTGAATAATATACATAATTTCCAAGCGCCTTGAGTACCTAATTGTTGGTAGATATGTGCGCTATATAAGACTCCGCTGTTAAGGCATACTTTGTGTGATTTCTCTCGGCAGATGACTGCTGCAGTTAATGGCGAACTGTTTTGTCCTTGAAGTACCAGTAATAAAAAGGAAAACTCTTCAAAACATCGGCATGCATTCTATACCATCATTTCCCGCAATGATTCTCATTGTACAATGTCATACCAGCATGTTCTTAACTAATTACTTCAATACATAACTAACGATGTATCATAAAAATGTGTGTATGTAGGACAGTAATGATTGTTTGCATTGGAATACCAGCACTTGTGGTTTTTGCCAGTACTAGTCAAAACATAAATATACACAAAAGGTGACCTTGGCAAAAGTGCGAAAAAAAAGTATAAAAAAATATTTAAAAATGCCTGGATTAGCACGCTCGATTGCGATACGAACTGCAGTAATTCTTCGCTGAGAAGGTCAACTCCGAATGTTAAAACTGGAACTAAATTAAAAAAAAAAACATGTAGTACACAAGTTGTTAAAGGCGCTTGTGCAATCTTTGTGCTTAACACTCCTCAATCCTCCTAAATCCCCCATGCTGTTTTGGAGGATTTTGAAGGATTGAGGCTGAATGGCATAAAAGTGCCGGTTGAATTTGGGAGATGAATTGTGTCGAGTTCGTATTGGCTGTACTAAGTATTGTTTATGCTCAGTCATGCATAATTTATTGAGCCCTCATGCTGGATATCATCCGAAGCTCGACTGTCATGACTGTCATTGGCACTACCTCATTAAACGTGATTGCTGGGAGATTTTGAGCAATTGAGGCAGTGGTCGCCCCTCCACTGAACAAATTCAAGAAATATATGTAACGGGTGATTTTGAAGGATTGAGGCTGAATCCATTTTTTTTTGTACATGGTAGCAATTGGAGGATTTTGAAGGATTGAGGATGGTTCCTGACCAAAAGGGCCCACGGTGTTAGGGTTAAATCAAGGTAACAATGCACACCACCAAGATTGCAGTTGAATGCAATGGTGCTATCAGTGGATTATATTACATTCAACAGGGGGCCACGAGAGGTCTATTTACTATACTGAAGGTCGCCCCTTCCCTCAAAATTGCCCACCTTCAATTTACTTCTTGATTTTTCATTTTTGACGTCGCAGCCTGAGACGAGAAAATCCGTCATCGGTTGCCACCCGGAAAATGACGACTTCCACCCCGACCTGACCCCGATAGTGCTGGCTGCACATCACAACAACTACATGATTCTTAAGGTAAACATGCATGGTGACTGCGGTGATCAGGATGATGCTGATTGTATCAGTGATTTGATGATGGTGATGAGGGTGGTGAGGTTGATGTGGTGATATGGTGCAGAGGTAGTGAGATAGGTAACCAGACTAATTTGCAAGTGACAGTATTTAAGTGCGTCAATTCAGTGAGTGAGGCTTTATCCGAATTTGCTTGGCTGCTGCTTAAAATTACAAACGAGTCTAAGGAAGCGGCTGCAGGCACTTCCATAGACTCGTGTGTAATTTCAAGTCATTGCCAAGTAATTCGCCTGAATCTGTGAGTGAGTGAGTTAGCAGGTTAGGTACTATTATTATTTTAGTATTTTTATTATTATTATTTACATAAACGCTCATGAATCCAAAGATTCATCGAAAGCTCCCCGTGTAGCTCACACGCCTGAAGAAACCTGTAGAGAGAAGATGATGACAAGAAATTACAGATTTAGAGGTGGGAGGAAAACCCCAGAGGAACTCTCTGGGGGAAACCCATGGTGTCAGGTCAGGGGACTGAAAACCAAATCCACCTGTGGATCAGGGTAGGAATCGAACCCGGACCATCGAGATGGAAGACGAGGAAAGGACCAATGCGCCAAACACCTCTCCCCGTATGACTCTAGGCTGGCCCTTTCATAGTGGGGGCAGATAGGGGAAATATTTGGGGGACTATTGTGCCTTTGATGATACAATCATGGCATTCGGCACACAGTCAGAGTATGTCTTAAGCAAGATACTTATTTGGCTATAGGGCTATCGCCAGGTAGAAAAGGTAGAACAAATTTATTACAAATGTATTACAAAGGCACAATCCCATCACCTATCTGCCGTATTATTTCCGGGACCACCAACAATTGAATACATTGCAATTTTAATGTTCTCAATCTAGACTCTACTTAAATACGGCGCGACCATCCCCGACCCGGACTCTTCGGATTTCCAGCGCACGGAGAAGCACACCCTGCAGCGCTCGGTGGGCACGCTGAACGTCTACCGGGCCCTGTCTAGCGGCTACTACATCTCCTTGACCGCCCACGACCCGATAGGCCACGCCTTCACCTTGTCCAGCAAGCTGGGCGAGATGAGTAACTTGGAGTACGAGTTCCGGGCCGAGTACACAGAGCTCTCCGAGTCGGTGGAGCAGTACGCCGCTGACATTCTCGCCCAGGCCCGCGACTCGGATGAGGTAAAACAAAGGGAAACAAGAATCATATTTTTAACCAGAGTTGAAATCTAGTCAATCACACATGAGGTCACATTTTAAGGCAATATAAAATGTGCAAACATAAAATATAGGTTTTCCCGGCCAATTTCCTGAAATGTTCATTCACTTCTGAAAATCGGTCATTTATTTTCGTCTGAATTTGAATGCTTGTCTTTAATCCAATTTCCATTCAACACAAGTTCAATGGTTTTCATTGTCCGTGCATTCGGTTTTGAGAAACAGACGGCCAATTACGTTACCTGTGCATTCATTTACGCAAGCATACCTTTTCTAAATTGATTTGAGGTACGGCTAATTTGAGTACACAGTAGTCAAATGGGTATAAAGGAGTATAAATGGGTACCGGCATTAGCTGGGGAGTAATCCTGCGATGGACTGGCATCCCATTCAGGGGGAGTAGAAATATTCTCAGTCGTTTCATGCCAAGGAAACCGGAGATAAACACCGGCCTGATGAGCCACATTGGCTCGGGACAGACTTTACTACGGCTAATTTGATTGACGGTTGATGAAAAAGTAACCTCTAATTGTATCTGGTGCCGATGGCATTACACTAAAAGTGAAATGGAATGGTGAATGTTTGAAATCGCCCTCTCAAAGCGAAAAAGAATTCTTGTAAACGAATCTAAATGGACATCAACGAAAGGTGCTGCTCAATCACTTAATTGATTGAATTGAAATGGAATCGAATGCTCTAGTAGCGAAAATGAAACGCGTGTTCAGAGCGATTCTCAAATTCAGACGAAAATGAATGACCGATTTTCAGAAGTGAATGAACATTTTAGAAAATTGGCCGAGAAAACCTATATTACCAAATATTTATGAATCAGTGGAAATACCTAACTTGACTGTTAGTGAATAGGCCAAGAATCCTGTGAAATTATGGCACCTGGTGTGCTGTCATTAAAAAAACAACCTGATTTTCAAATACTGTCCCCAATTTACCGAAATAAGTCCACGTTTTGTGTGCAATCGGTTACACATCCATGACAGGGTGCAAGCAATGTAGTCTGGTTCCTTGACCTAACAATTCCCCGATGTCTATAAATTGCTCCGTTTCGTCTGAAGTAGGTTCAGGGAATCACATTGTGACTTTAACTTCCTTTAAGTCACAAGAAACGGGGCTAAACAATGCTGAAGGGATGATGTTGTCAGTTCATTTGAATACCTTTTGACTTGCCTTGAGACTGGATGAATTGTGATTGACTGGTGAGGGACTTGTTATCAATTGTAATGACCCTGATTGTAACCCCAAAAGAGCCAAGGGCCGAATTCGGTTTGATTTTATGTGAAATCCGGAGTCTTCGACATTTTTCATGGACTCACAGCCTATCACGTGAGAGTGAATACTTACTGCTTTGTTCGGAGAGCCATGCTATGTACGGTCGAAAAGCCAGTATTTCATCGAGTCCAATTTACAATGCCGGAAGTCCAATTTACATTTAGTGTTCCACACGACCTCTAAGCTTTTCTTTTAAGTGCCAAGACTTCTGATCTCGTTTCACCTATTACGTCTGGAGGTACTCTGGCGCGAGAAGTGTCATACTTGAGAACCAAGCTGGGCGGAAATGTTTAGCAATGACATATTGTGGTCTTTCACTGAACGCGGCCAAAGCGTATATGGACTACAGAGTATTACTCATCACACTCCACGAAACAGGTTCATTTTGCCTCGAAGGTAACTTGGAAAAAAAAATCCATAACAACTTATTTAAAAAACCTTCAGTGCAGAAATCAATCAATCTTTGTTGAGGTTACGTCATTCGTGTTTATGAAACCTATCGATCCAGAGATTGAGCAATCCGAGATTCTCTGAAATTTCTCCGTCGGAGAGATTTCAGGGAGATTTTCATTGTCCACTTGTACAGTGTGAGGTAGCATTTCGTAATAAATGAAAAAGGATTGATTTGACGTAAAGTCCCTGGCGATCTTGGAAGGATTATATTTGTCAGACTGCGATCAATCAAATAACGACAACGCTCTTGTATAATACGCCAATGTCACTTTAGAAATCAGCATGTGCATGTAACATGATTAATATACCTTCTCTTGTCCTCATGTAAAGGTTATTTCATTCAGTCCGGCAGTTTCTTTTCTAGACTGTAGTTACGTTGCCAGGGTAAAACAGATCGATGAAGTACCTTGAAGAGATCACTAGTTGCATGGATGCAGTGCGCCGTTTGGTTTCATGGTACAATACGATGAACTTGCAAAACAAAAACTCCTTTGTGCCGTTACTTGTATTACATATGTATATAGATTTTACTTGAGATTTCAATTCAATTCAATTCAATTCAACTTTATTCATTCATCATACCAGCATGAAATTCTGCTTCTCAGTTTGCACATAAAAAATCAAATACAATGTACCTACAATACAAAAAAAAATGAATATATAAAACTTACAGTATACACATTAAAACATTCAATGAAAAGGCAATGAATTAAATAATAATAGTGTTTGTCAAAATACAGCAAAACCCTAACAACACACACATGGACCACACTACGGCATTGTAAATTGGACTCGATGAAATACTGGCTTTTCGACCGTACATAGCATGGCTCACCGAACAAAGCAGTAAGTATTCACTGACACGTGATAGGCTGTGAGTCCATGAAAAAAGTTGAAGACTCCGGATTTCACATAAAATCAAACCGAATTCGGCCCTTGGCTCTTTTGGGGTTACAATCAGGGTCATTACAATTGATAACATGTCCCTCACGAGTCAATCACAATTCATCCAGTCCCAAGTCAAGTCAAAAGGTATTCAAATGAACTGACAACATCATCCCTTCAGCATTGTTTAGCCCTGTTTCTTGTGACTTAGAGGTAATTAAAGTCACAATGTTCTATCTTCACTTTTGGCAAGGTTTCTGTCATGAAATTGGCAGGTACTTTTCGGAAGAACATTCTAGGTAACTGAACAAATTATCCTACTTGGCATGTAATTGCAATTGAAACCCAGCAGAGCAAAGGGGCCAAACGGATCCGTATTCTGTTTATTTTAAGCCGCAGAAAGGCAAAGCCGTTTACTAGATAGAAAATTCCACTTTGGTATGATTGATTTCGATCGCAACATGCGTGACCGTCGTGGCCAAAGTTTCAGTATTTTTCCATCCAGCATCAAATTGATTGGCAAGTGCTGTACCTCATACCGCATTAATTTAATGACCAAGGTCATCTGACGTTTATAACTAGATCATGGTTCGCGGATCAGACACACGGGACATTAAGGCCGAGTAAAAGAAAAACATGGAGTAGTTTCTTGTAAGGCAATTGTGGAAAAAAAATACGGAGACGGGCGCTACTTTTTCTCATTTTTTTCCTCTCCAACATGTTGTTTTATTCCAAAATGATGGCTGATAGATTCTTCAATTTTGACTATTTTGCTGATACAAAACTGTGTCCAAAGCGGCCATAACCCTATCTACATAGCTACAATTTTATTGGAAACAAATGAAAAGACAACACAGTGACAGTGCATGTGCAGAATATATTGCAAATGTATGAATTAAAAATATATATATATAAACAATAAGAGATTGTGGCTCTAACTGAACAACCACAAACCGTTCCCAAAATGTTTTCGTTGTCTACTGGACGGTATTTAGTGAATTAAAAAAATTATTATCGTTAATAATTGCACTTCCGTTAACATCGGAAGTAAGGGTTACTTGGCATTGGCATTTCAGGAGGCACATATTTAGGATGATATATAGCAATGTGCAAAGAACTGTAATCATGCTTTATCGTATTGTTAAGACTTGGTGGCCACAAAAATGCTTATTAAATATTCATGAGTTATAACAGCTTTTAAAGCTTTTAAACTTTGCGTTTATTTAAAAAAAAATTAAATTCAATTGAAAAGGCAATTAAATTCCACGGCGGCTTAGTCCTCAGCATGGCCACTATCTCGTTCAATGCACAACTGGGCTTGGAGCATCATTCCTGCAACAGTACGGCGAATCACATCCCTGTCTTGACTGAGAATGTCAATTTCACGAGTTATCCTTTCCTGGAGGTCATCCAGATTTGCTTACTGAAACTCTTGCAAGCAAGATCCACAAATCTGAACTGATTATGCATTCCATGACCAGAACCAAGACAATGGTTGCGTCTTCTAATTTGTCTCCTTCTTATCCAGCCCAGACCAGTTGGCGCAAGTCAGATTTCACCCGACCCCTTTAATTGTCTCCTGTGCAGTCATGCATGAAAACTAATCCAGTAAAAATGTCACCAAAAGAAGCAAGAAGAGTTATTCTAAAAGTACATATAAAAATATCTTATCATTATTGCTACAGAATAAAAGTATGGCCAGTTTTAAATGTGTATAGGTTTTTTTTTACTCACACTGTATAGGAGTATATATATGCATATCTATTTAAAGTCAGCATACTATACTATGACGTCATCGTGACGTCATTTCAGTGTTCGTCTATAACACTCTCCTGTCTATCTACCTCCACAGTACACAATTGGTCCAATAGTTTTATAGTTTTAGGACTGTAAACAATGAATTTTGAAATTGACGTCATGTCAATCGACTACAGCCTGATGACGTAACGATGACAAAATTGTTCGGCATAAATCTATAGATGATGGTTGATGTACATTGTTATTATAATTGTGATTGAATTAACGAAAGTTCCCAAAGTGGCTTGTAGAATGAAAACGTTTACAAAACCTATGGGAAAAGAGAGAAAAAAAAGGAAAACAAATGTTAAAGAAACCAAAAGCTGTTCCCAATTGAAATTGGGTACAGCTAAAATCTAGGCGGCCGGGGAAAAAAACAAGCGTGCGGGACGAACTGGTTATTTTTTTTACTTGGCCTAATCCCTAAATGTTGCATTGCATTTGCATTCATGCTTCTACGTGGAAACCTCTCGGAACTTGTAAGCCAAAATGTGCGGGATAATTATCAGCACACTGTGATTAGTTTGAAAGCTAAATGCTGCACGCAGGATCATTCACAGTCAATCAGGACAAAATGAGAATTTAGGAGAAAACGACTCACTTAAGGATATTTTGTCGGTTGGCGGCTCAGCATAATGTCATTATACCGGCTAGATGGATTGAAGGAGATATCCAATTACATGTACACTCTAAAACTGTGTGCAGATTTCACTGGGAAAAACAGTGAAATCCGTGGTGAGCTGGTTGCAACGCTGACTGTTTTATAGTCAAATCTGACAGTTTTCAAAGCGTGTACATAAGCCAAAGTTAACATGGTGCTAAGAGTTTAAACACTTTTTTGTACCCACTTCTTCCACACGATTAGTCTAAGACATGTTTAGATTTTTGCACGTATGGAAGCCTGCTCTAATCCGACTCGGGTCTCATTTTGTTTGGTGACTCGGCTTGACTGAGTCCTTATATGGGTAAATGACTCGACTCGACTCGAGTCACTGCGAGCAAATGACTCGAGTCCCTCATCAGAACACTTGATACTTGACTCGAGCAAAGGCTTCATAAGACTGGAGTCCCACAAATAAAAGCAAAACTTTGCAAAACAAAAATATTTGCAGTGACTCACAGTGCGAAATGTATGTTCACGTCATTTCAACACATTTTCCAATCCGTGGTCTCATCAGTTGCTTTGGGCGATTTCTTATTAAAGCTTTTGGATTCGACACCGGCTAAATTTATGCCCTCCTGTTAGAATTAAATCGATGCATGCCCACTTTTAAATAATCAGAAACAGTTTTGTATAACGAAATTGGTTTACATTTTGTTTGTTTTACTTGTAGAGTGTTCAAATATTAGTGACTCGAATTAATTTGCTCGAGCTAAATATTTGACTCGACTCGACTCGACTCCACACTATGAGTCGACTCGATTCGACCTTCTTGACCTAATGACTCGACTCGACTCAGTCATTTCCTTAAAATGACTCCACTAGAGTCACAGAAATTAGTGACTCGTTACAACTCTGTCGTACCATCAATAATGAATTATAAAAAAGCGAATGTTATATTTTAAAGTTCTTATCTCAGAGACAGGTGATAAAACATTATTGCTTAAAATGTGTGTCATTCGACTTAAACCAAATAAGTCGATTTTATATACCTTTACAATTGATATGTGATGGTACTAACAGGCTTCCTTCGTCACAGACATCAATCAACCTAAATATGTCGTAGATTCAAACGTAACAGAGTGGGTTCAATGTGCAGGCATGAGATTTTCCAGACGTTTGTCTGAATTCAGACTTTTCGAATATGAGAGAAAGACATTATTAGTGTAGAAAAATATGCATCTTTCAGACATTTCATCAATTTTCATCCCTTTTTTTAAGTGACAATCTCATCCCTGGGAAATGTGTTTAAAGGGAAGATACAACATTTGCAAAAACATTAAAAAAAACCGAAATGATCAAATTATCACAAAATATCTAACTGGAATGTTTGGGAATGACTGTATAAAGCATCCTGTAAAATCGTGGCTCCTAGTGTGCTGACATTTTCAAGAAAACTTCTATTTTTCCAACGCTGGTCGGCCGACCAGCGTTGGAGAAAACTGGCTTTTCTTCAAAAAAAAAACCTGCTCCAAATTGTTCATATTTAGTTATTCCGCACTTCCTTTGCAATTGATTACACACCTGTGAATGGGTATGAGCCTGCTAGACAGATTCTTTGACCTTTCAATTCCCCAAAGTCTACAAGTTGCTCCATTTCATCTTAAGTGGGGTCAGGGAACCCGACTACAAGAACATGGTTGGTTTTCTTGGATTTTCCAGCATCTCCAAACCCAAAACGTGAAACAAGTCGGGGTAACAATATTTTCTGTAACACTAATCCTCCAGATCCCTTTATTTCTGAAAATTGCAGCAAAAGCAAATGTTGTACATTCCCTTTAAACTCTAAACACAGTTTTTACACTGCCTTGGTTCTGGTGGATGAATCCGAAAGCCGTAAATGAAATAGTTTTGCGTGTTTCAACTAATGATAAATGCATGTCTTCCAGCAAACCACTGAAATACTGAAAGTATTTTTTCTACTCATAATTTCTCGGGCTTGCTAGAGTCTGTTAATTAAAGGTCCTGGCAAATTGGTTGTTTCAAAACTAATTAAAAAAATCAACATATTTTGTACAGAGATGGACTTTATAATGAAATAAAACAATTATAGAATTTATTACTCACCGTTTCGGGTCACAAAGGCAATTAAAACATTTATAAAATGGCAGACATTCATTTGTAGAACCATTTTTTTTACCGAGGTCAAAACTGATCAAGTTTGTATCACTTCACTATTCTCAAGACAAGGACGTGTATTAAGTCACGGCAGTGTGAGAAAAAGAATAAAATGGTTGGGTTTTATCATTAAAAAACCTCAGAAACTCATCCACGCATTAAAGCTCGCTTTGTATGACTTTGTATGAAGTCGCTGTCGTAAAATGCACTTTCTAAGTCACCGCAGACTTGAATAACATCTTCTTACGTCGTCATTATATTAGGAGTGGAAGATAAGACACTTATTCCCTCTTTCTGGAAAAAAACCCTGCATTTCTCCTGTAAGATGTACTTTCAAATTAGGGTCAATACACAGTTTGTTTGATAATCTGAAATGTATTTCATGTTGACGTTTTATATTTTCCAGTTGACAAGCATCTTGACCCACAACGATAACGTGCAGCCCAGTGACGAGAACAATGCCAAAGACACTGCGCTGTTCAAAGTCTTCCACGCGATCAGTTGTGAACAGAAAAAGGTGAGTCAAAAAAAAAAACCTTGCCTTGCCAAAGCACTTTCCTTATAAATATGCAGAATTAAATGAAACAAATTAATCTTTTTTTACAAAGCACAGGCATATCAACTTTGTTGCTTAAGTTACAACCGTGGATTTTCGTATAAGATCCTTCTTAGTTAGAATTAATATTTTGTACTGCATGAATGTCATAAGTCAATGTGAAGCTATTTTCTTTATTTGAAATAACTCTAGCTATGCCGAAAGACTTAATTCTTTAACATTTAGATGAAAAAAAAACCACAACAGCAGTCGAAAATTAAGGTGTCCGTTGATTGTGCTGAATAACATCGATATATTTTCTGAAATTCCTTGCAACCGGTAATTCTGATAATTGTATTTCCCTGTCAATTGTCTATATGATGTTTTTTTTTGCAATGACTGATACAGCTCAAAATGTTTGTTTACGCCATTTAAACACATTTTCCAATTCGTGGTTTCATAATTGGCTTTGGGAGATTTCTTCTTATTGAAGCTATTGGATTCGAGCGCAGCCTACAATTATGCCCTTCTTTTAAAATTAAATAAATGCATTCCCATTTTTGAATAATGAATGCCAGTCAATCAGTGTTAAGCTATTTGCTTTATTTGAAATAACTCTATAGCCATGCTCAAAGACTAATATATTTTTAAACTTAGATGAAAAAAATATGATGGTGTAATGAAGGATACAACTCTTTTCATCACACTGAATCACGGATCTAAGCTCGTCCAATTTTTGCGTGACGTAACTGTGCTATGATCGTTTCGTAAACATGTTTATGAGCCATGTATAATGGACAAACCAACCCTTTATACCATGGACACAATACTAGCATTGAATGCTGCATAGTCTCTCTTATTTTCGACCCCACTCAACATAATTAGTATAAATACTTTGAGAATGTCTGATGGAATTATTGATATGCTGTAAATGCATACTCGCATGCAATTTGGGAGCCGCAGCACTCAGTGTGTCATTACCGCTTCCTGTCTAAGTACGCATTACCCTTTTCAGTTCGAAATGGTCTAGAGTAAATTATTGCCATCATTATCCACCTGATCTAGTTCCTGCAGTATAGTAGGGCTGTTAAAGAGGTTGTGGAATGCTCGAAGACATTTCCGTCATTTTTTTGGGTATATGTAGCCTAAGGTGTGATGAAATAAAAACGACTATTGTTTCTGTCATGAAATGAGTACAAAGGGTACTTTTGAGAGCTATTTTTCAGGTCCTGTTTCGACCCGAACGTGCAATTTGTGTAAAAGTCGTCGTTGTTGGCAGCAAACAAAACACAGTAAATCGTGACGTAATAAACAGGACTCGGTATGCTACTCTGCATCGGGAGTCCTGTTTATTACGTCACGATTTACTGTGTTTTGTTTGCTGCCCGCAACGACGACGTTTACACAAATTGCACGTTCGGGTCGAAACAGGCATGACAGGACTTGAAAAACAGCTCTCAAAAGTACCTGTTGTACTCATTTTATGACAGAAACAATAGTCGTTTTTATTTCATCACACCTTAGGCTACATATACCCGAAAAATGACGGAAATGTCTTCGAGCATTCCACAACCTCTTTAACGTCAAATATCTGATACAATTGTGCACTTTGTGACCAAAGCATGAAACTTCGTAATATGAATGTTCACATATCTGAAAATGCATGTCATGGCAAGAAAACCAACATTTTAGATATGGGTCATGAAAAAGTGGGGTTTTGACCTTTGAATAGTAAATGTTATAAATATCTATAAATAGGACATACAAAATTGATTGACCTCTTGAAGGTCACTAGAGGTCGGATTTGAAGTGCCCTACATTTGAACATTCTTTTCACAACTTCAACACCTACCATTTCGAGTTGGGTCTTGAAACAGCATGGGTTTAAAGTGTATATCTTAAAAATAACGATAAATACAGTATGCAAAGGTCATTGACCTCTTGAAGGTCACCAGAGGTCAAGAATGATTTTATTGTCACATCTGATCATTATTTTCATGGCCTGAAGACCTATTACATAGACTTGGGTAATGTGAAAGTGGTGTTCACAAGAACAATTATTAAATAGAGTCTGTAAAGGTCATTGACCTCAAGGTCACCAGAGGTCAAATATGAAATGCCTCCACATCTGAAAATGTTATTCAATGCAAGAAGAACCAACGTGCAAAGTTTCATGCTTTAGTCACGAAGTGTACAATTCTGTCAATTAACAGCCGTACTAGTATTAATATAAGGTCTCCCGTGCAATTCCTATACTGGAGAAATTGTCTGGTATCTCTGTGTGTATTTTCTTTGGCTGGAAATATAATACTCAACATCTGTTGGCCGCCTTGTATCCCTCGGACAAAATACTAGCTGGCACTCGCTCTTGTTTTTGATATTTTTTTTTTTTAAACCCGAATAGTTATTGTGTAGGAATGTAATATTTTCTGTTAATTATGCCGCGAGGCTAGCACCGGTGTGGATGTAGTCATGTAGATGAAGATAACGATGTGAAATAAGTTGTCGCAGTATTTTGTTTTGCATTAAAATAATATATCTTTGCCTTTGGGTACGAATGGGCTCTCCAAACACCGAACTTCATAACACTGTAAAAGGCACATAAATAATTTACGCGAATGTATAAGCAATTCTCAAATTAATTTGTTTGTATTGAAAGCCGAAAAAGTTATCTTGTTTAAAAAATTGACATGATATCAGATGTACGCCAGCTTATTCCTGCTTATTTTGTATTAATATTTCTTTACTTGGCATTTGTCCGGGAAAATCATCAATAGCTCATTAGGCCTAATAAACGAATCTTCTCAATGTTCTATCTAAAAAAAATCCAATTAAAAATGGACTGTGATTGATTGATTTTTGCTAACCGTGTTACAACCTGAAAGTGGCCCAGGACGAATATTGTCACCTTTCATCACAAAATTAGATTAAAGTCGGACTTGTTGAGCTTTCCAATGTATATACAACATTAATAAAGGGGTACTGAGTTCAGTAACGGAACTATTGACTACCAAATTACTTAGTTGTATTCTTGGGAAAATGGCATTTCGAAATACTGCATTTTTTTTTTACAAGTGAATGAATAGTCAACTTGAAATAGGTTTAAAAAAAAAACATCAAATTTCGGCTGTGCCCCACTGTACTTCAAATGGTAATTTTTCAAATTCCGTAGACAGGTTACATTCATTTTATTGAGAACAATTCAAATGGGTTTTCCCAGTAGGAATGTTGGTTAATTAAAATCAGTGACATGTTCTAATTATCAGTTCCATAATAATTGCGTCTAGCATGTTTCGGAGTTCGAAAGCATGTTAACTGAATCGTTCATGTTTGGCTGAATATCGTCCCCATGGCGTCGAGCAGTACGCTCCCACCATCTGCCTTCTCATCTGGTACTGGGTCATTTGCGAGTTCAAAGTACACTATAATTAGGTACGGAATGGTCTGGTGCCTGACCATGCTGCAAATCAGTGGGTGTCTATTCGGTAACCATGGTACAGACGGAAATGATTCGTCGTGGGCTAAACCCACATGAATTTTTCAAGTAGTGTTATATAATCATCCCCATCTTTAGTCCTTACAATAAGTATATTTAAAATCAAAACAGAGAGGCAAGATTGTTTTATAGAGGATTATACGTGATATATTACACGATATACAAATCCATTACTTGCTATCGCGGCGTCGAATCAGAATACCCTAACTCCCTAGCATCGGGAACCATATACCCATCCTGGCAAATTCCAACACCATATGGGATACTGCACACACATATTTCTGACTTTGTTTCCGGAGGTGTGCCAAACCAATGTAAAAGACCGTCAGTTTTGGGAACGGTACCCATCCTGACAGATTCCAACAGGCGTGCCGTTGGGGTTTGATGGGTTGAGTTCTGTAAGGGTTAAGCGTTAAGGCGGTGTCAGAGGGCAATGGTTCTTTTTCGGTTGGATTTATGCATTGGTAAACCTCTGAGATATCTGCAACGCATAAGGTCTATACGGAGGGCAGGTTTCTCTCCCATCATCTTCTATAGACCTTTATCATGCTGCCACCATTTCAGTCATGTTCCCTGTATCCAGTACCGATACTGAATGTTAATGTTTTTTGTGCAAACAGGAAACATACTATATTTCCTTCCAGCCTCGCTTTGGTTACGTTGATTTGAATAAGAAAAGAATCAAGATGGCCGCAACATGATAATGGTCTGTTGGCTCAAAGCTGAAATAGATCGAAGTCATGTTTCTCTTGTAAGCCCTCTGCTTCCGAGGCTAAACCTGATGACTTGTTCACACAAATTGACCACAGGTGTTCGGCAGGTGCTGATCTCTATGCATGAATTTGCATCATATAGGACCCGGTTGTCATTCGTAGGCCTACCTTTACTGAGAATCGCGTGACATCGATTTGCCACTCTTTGAAGTGTTAGTTGCAGTCCCGCGTGTCACTCTCTGCACCTCTTGAAATATATCAATGTTACTCTGTAAAATGCGATGTGTGGGTACAAAATAATTTGACACCTCAATGCGTAATCTATATCGTATTGTGAGTTGTCACAGTGTGACACTCACATTTTACACTATGATCGGTACAAACTGTCCGTAGTCTTCACAGCTGGTGGGTTTATGTCTGCAACCTAGCAAATCAATTGCCACGAACTGGGTGTCCCTAACAAAAGATAACCAACAAAGGGCTAATTTGACAAAGCTACATGTATTTAATGACCGCGTTTATGACATTATCCTAAACTGGGGCAGTGTTAGCTTTCCTTTCTTTTCTTGATTGCATTCCTCTGTTCATGCATCACTAGTCACCGTTGTCTTGAAAATGGTGTGTGACAATTCTCTTGGGACAGCTTTGGGTTAAACCTTAGCACAGCCGGACCTAAGACCAATAGGTTCAAGGGAACAATTAGAGCTTTCTACGAAAACATGAAGAAAATATGATTTTAAGTTAAATCGTGATCCTATTCATACGGGATTTAG